GCGCCAATATGGAACTAATAATTGACTTTACAACTCCTTTTCCTAACCATGTTGGATACTGCTCGGGAAGGTGACGATGCGCTTGCTGAGTCCTTCTACCTATGCAACTGTTCACGCAAGAACAGTTAAATTTATAAACGCATATTGAAGTGGTCAAATCTGGTAGTTTATCTTTTACCTACATCCAATCGCTGTGAGACGACAGTCGTTATTTTCCCCTCCTCTCCTACCACTATACACATCCCCGACAACTGACTATCTAGATTATATAAATGCTTAAAGGAATTTATCCTCCTTATTATTGTGATCTACTAAATTCACACGCCTGAACGTTAATTTTATTGACTATAGTGGTTTCAAATGTCTATGAATTATATTTTATTATGTAATTGTATATCCTGATGAAAAGTTACTGAAAATAAATGAGTTAGATAATATAAAAGACTGTTTATGCTACACTAGCATGATCAGCTAAAAACAGAAAATACAAATATCATTTTTCTGTTGATTCCATATCATTGCTCAAAATAACTACGTTTAGTTGCTCTAACGTCTATGTTACTACTAATTTTCCAATGTGTTACATTAATTGTAGGTCGAGCTGAAATCACGAATTGGTAGAATTAAGAATGTATTAGCCATCTGAGAGAATCCTATTGTCTGAATGGTCTATGATCTTGTCTACTCACCAGCAGGTCCAATGGTAGGACCGTGGAGAGTGCGTACTTCTGAAAAGTCCCAATCTAAGAGGAAATAACAGTGCAGTACTCCCTGGTTTTCAACGGTTCTCCAGTTGACATCAGTCTGTGATCCAACTGATAATAAATACTATGTAACTTCTACTACTGACTCAAAAAACGCCATTATCGATTAATCTTTGTATCAATTTATGACCGTATACTACATTTAAGTGGAAACAACGGTATTTGGATATATATGTTCCTTTAAATCGAAGGTATTTCCTATGTACTTGAATGATCTTATGAAACCAATGCATGCGAAGCACTCAGTGAACTGTTACGATGTATCAGTAAACTTAATGTAGTCACAATTTGTTTGTAGGATGATTGATATCAACACCAGTTCTGGAAATATCTGGTTCATTATTAGTTTCGTTCAAGTTTTAGACCGCCCAAACAATTTGTGTCTCCTTAAATCCATCTCCTCGCTCTTGAATTCGTGACTGCCACTTATTGTATGAGGCAGATCACAGAATGTATCTAAACTTTCTTCCGGTTTTCTCACCTCGGGTTATGTGATTTACTAATGGCAAATTTAATTCTGGGTTTGAAGTACCCCATCGACAAAATTTAACTTACTCTTGGCTATGTTATAAAGTCACACCTGACAGGAGATTTGCCGCAGCCACAAGTCAGTGAGTCTAAACTTTCTTCAGCATTATACTGCTCAAATTTCAATTTTAAATTATATCTTCTAGTGACTACTTCTGCAACTGAAATTACTGGGTTAAGCAACTTGATAAAAATGTTCTGTTCCAGAAAGTTCCATCACTAACAATAGGAAGTGACTCAACAAACAGAGGATTAGCTCGTCAGATTTCGACCTTCCCTAGATGACACTTGTCAGAGACATACAAATTAATAATTATGAAAGGCTTTTGACTATAAAACTAAGATAAGCTTTGAAAAAGCTGAGAAAAGATCAGAGACATAATACGCAGATTAAGTAGGACAAGAAATATGGTATTTAATGCCAAACTCAAGCACATTATTATTCTCCTTGGGCTCCGAGTGGAACATACGGCTATAGAAGCAAATCTTCATTCTTGTCTATTCTCCGCAGTCTTCTTTATCTAGCAGAACGGTTGATCATGAACTCCTTTATCCTCTTCAGAATGTCCGCTACATGTCACCATCAGGCCCCAAATGATCGTCACCCATTCAGGTTCCACTAGAGGAACTGGCGCGCAATGTCATTTCAAGGTCTATTCAGCATTTTTACGATCCATTTCCATTTCCTTCATAGGTTTGCTCCCAAAGTTTATTGTTGCTAATCCATTCTGGTCATCTCACATTCAATATAGAGAGAAGACAACTATCTATAAAAATCTGCAGTGGCCCTTTGGAAATGCTTTTCGTAATGCGAGAAGTTTTGACTCATATAGCCGAAGTGATTGACTAAACCGTGGTAATCAAAGTCCGAATTCCGTTATCCATTCTGGGCGCAGAAGATTTCCAAACTGATTTCAGAGTGACATAAGTCTGTTTTGCCTTTCGGATTTGGGCTTTCACGTCTTCATCCATCCAGCTTGAAGTTGAAACGATACTTCCTAGAGAAGTGAAGGAAGTGATTCGTTTAAATTTCCCCCATTGACAGTGACTCACGTTTGTTGTTGTTGACTATCTTCATTGTCTCCATCTTCTCTATCTTCACTTCAAATTCTGTCTTCACTGGCAGCATCTTCTGCCAGTTTGCATGTTTCCGCCCCTAGGTCTTCTAGTTTATTTAACATCAGACATAAATCATCCGCGAAACCTAAGCCTTCGAGAGTCTTCTAGTCGATTCAACGTATTTCTGTGTGCTACGTAATGAAGTCCACCACAATTAATAATATCATCCATTATAATAGGCAGCCTTCTCTTCAGGATGATGCGACTTAGTATCCCACTTGGCGTTGACAAGAATATGATTCCGCGTCAGTGCTTGCAGCGGTCCAAGTTGCCTTTCTTTGGTAGGTTGAAAAGACAACCAGCCTTCCTTCCAATCAGTAGGCACCTATCCTTCCCTCCAACCTTTTTTGCAATAATGGCGTCAGCATATATGTCGCAGTCTCTGGGTCTATTTTCAATGCTTCAAAGAGGAATTCCCTCTAGCTTTGCTGCCTTCCCGGACTTCAGTAGCATGATCACATTCAGGATTTCTGCTTTCGTTGGAGGAATGGTGTCTACTGACAAGTAGTTCCGTGCGTGCTGTTGGTGTTATTGTAACAACAGAAGACAAGGGCCAGGCAACAGAACGTTTATTTCGGAAAATCAACACGTATTTATAGATTTTGATGTACATTATTGTAGGTTAATGTCAGTAGAAAATACAGTCTGTTGATTGGTTGTTTCTCACACAAAGTTAACCTTGCATATCTTGTGGCTGTGTCAGTTCAACTATATGTTAACTGTATCCGCCTGTCCACCTTGACCTTTGACTTCAATCACTGTAAACCAATTTGGCTAGCGACCATCTTTCACCACAGTATTTCTAGACGAATTGCACGTGATGGTCGACTTGAGAGTTTTTGAAGTGATCAGTCTATTGTTTCATTTGTTTCTTCCCCATGGTGATCAGGTCCTCTTAAACACCTTTTATTGCTTTCATTATATGAGTTGATGTCTTACCGGATAGCGAGCAACCTGGTTATCTGATTTAATGTTCTGAGGTTTCTTCAATCTGCGGCCTGCTGGCCTGTTCTATTTCAGTTGCCGGTGTGTCACAGAATTACCTTCTGTCCTTCCTATAACTCTTCTCCATCTCTGCATTCAGTTAGGTATACACTGAATTCATCTTCCTTTACCGTTTCCTCCTTTGCATCGGTTCATCTGTTTCACCACCCCGCTCTCCTCTGTTAACTTTCAGGTGTGCTTAAAAAGCCATTCCTTGTCTTACTTCTTCTTTCTTTCTCAATGGTCTATACACGTAATTTTTGGTAATGTTTGTAGTTATCTATAGAAATCTTCCTTCTTCTCCAATTCTGAGTTATTTGTAGCATTGTGCGTAGCACTGAATAATTCCAACATTCCTTCCTTTTGAATTGAATCTTGCTGTCATTATCTTGGAGGAGATTGTTCCCACTGTATCAGAACTTTGGTCGTTGTTGGTGACATCACGGTGGCCACTGATTTACTGGTCTTGTGGTTGTTGTCTGGGTGACCGGAGTAGATTACTTACTCTCCAGTTGAAAACTTCGATAGTCCACATCCGTTTCAGCTGCTCTCACAGATTCCTAGCACTTCCATCTCGTATAGTCTCATTTCTGTTGCAATCTGGGCAGCCCTATAAGCTTCGTACACTGAACGAAAATTACACATTGCAATGCCTGGTTTCGCTTTCATCGGGAGAAGACACATCATCTGACTGGCTTTTCAAAGTCTTTCACCCATCCCTCTTTTTCTATCTCTCTAATTCCGGCGAGAAATAGATTTACTTTTCGTATTTTTGTTGTGGTTTGAAGTTTTCGTAAAGAATGAATTGATTTATAAGGGTAGGGTCGCTAGCTTCACACCCAACCTCCACTCTTTACCCGGACTTAAGACATGTTAGCAAACTAGTAAACGAGGTGAGGTTAAAGAATATATTAGATGATTATTGTTTTTAAGCTGAAAAAACGTTCCTTATGAAGATATTTATATGTGAGCCATTAAAGCATTCTAGGGCCAAATGATATTCATTTATTCCCCATTAAGGCGAAGAAGGGAAAAGACTTCGTTATTTTAAAATAAATCTGACAGCAGATTGCTTGTTCACTAAGAAGTGTATATATAAATGCCAAACGGGTCTATCGTATCTGGTGCTCAAGTCAAGGGCATCAGTTGGCGTTGGAGATATATCTCAAATCGATGGTAGTGAGAATTCACGGGTCACTGAATTCTAGCCCAGTGACTGATTGGTCAGTGAGCACACCTCATAACCTGAAGGATTCGGTTGCGTTCCTGATGAATAAATGGACTTGAACCTCTGTAATTACCTAAGACAGGATGAAATGAGTGTACAGTTATCTTGGTTTTCTATTATTCTCTGAGTGATATCAGTTCTTGACAAAATCTAACTTAAAATTATCATAGTCTTAAATGACGTTCTTTCAAAAAAGTACGCTTTAGAGTGTCACGTAGATGTATGTAGGCTAGAAGATTCTGCATACAATCACATTCAACTAGATGTATGTTAAATAAAACGATTTTATCATTGGTCAACAGGAACAGACCAATCACACTCATTTATCGTGTGATTCAGATAACAAATTATCCAGGGAAATGAAATAACTCGAAATTTTTTGATTGATGCGAATCAACGTAGAAGTGTTAATTTATAAATCTCTCAGGCTGCATATTTACCATCAAAATACTCTAAATACCAGTTGACCTATACATCTTTACAGCTATTCTCACTTCATATTACCATAAATATGAAAATCAAATTACCCTGCAAAATGATTGAAAAAGTGGGAAATTAATTGACAAACTGATTAAATTAAAAACAGTGAACCAGCTTAACATTATCATTATTTATTTGTTCATTGATAAGGGTTGTACATTCTACGACTTTGTTTTCTCTGGAATATTTCTATTTGTAATCCATTAAAGCTTTCTGGAAACTCTATGAAAGTAAGTATAATACTTATTTCGCTGTTTCAATTGTTGTAGTCAGATGATATCAATTACTGAACACAATGACAAATGAAGATTAAACATTTATTTATTACATTTTATAAAGTTGGTATTAATTTGCTACGATGTATTCTAATGAAATTTCAATATAAGCCTGACGCTCAAAGTGATATCACATCGGAAATGTTTATAAATCCATATATGCTAAAACAAAAGTGTTAACTTGCTGATGCATAACGGACTCATACCTGTTAAATGAATAGAATTTCATCCACTGATATTCTGTAGACTATTACTGTGAACTCATGATTCAAACCATATTTAAAAATAGAAGCATTTAGAGAAGAGTTATTGCTTTCAGTGATATCATTCTCAAAGCAACAAAAGTAATGTTTCCGGAAGTGTGTAGTTACATTCGTAAGTATTCGATGGAAGTTAAGTAATGCAGAAGGCATTGATCAGGTTGAAACTAGAATAAAATTAGATAAGAGGATTGAATCGATTAACATAATTGACAGAACTGAGTAGGGCTCAACCAGAACTAAAGGAGAGTCAAGTTAAGATCAAGGTGATAAAGGGTAGAAATGCAGTAGTGGGAAAAGGAAAGAAAATAGTCAAATCACACTTATTTTGCATCTATGCCCTGCTTTTTATGTATAATCGGTCTGCTTACAACACAATTTATCTATGGAAAGATACATGAGTATAGTGCATTTAACTAAGTTGCTGAAATGACTGCAACTTCAGAATAGTTAACTTCTAACATCCTTTGAAATAATTTCAGTGTGCTCTGAGAGACACGAAGAAATAATATGTATATATATACATATACTTCACACCATTACTGTCATTATTATCTGTCAACATTTGGACTTATAGAAAGCTTGCCTTGTCTGTTTTATGTGATTACAGCTCACTACTAGACCACTTTATTTTCTGTCATTTATCCCGCTTGCATTCAGCGTCACCGATTTGTCTGTTCACATTTTTGTCGTACTGGCATTTCTCTCACACTACTGAATGTAACTCACTTCCCTCCTTTGGAACTTATATTTTGTTGATCGTAATTTTTTTTCCTCTTTGCGTTCCCAGTGGAACATAGGGCTTCAAGCTAGAGGTTTGTCGTCTCGTTAGGAATGGTGTTTTTTACGCGATGAGGTTGCTATCCCCATGCACAACCTCCCCTTTTTGTAGTTATTATAACCGGCTAAGGAAGGTAAAGGAGTGAGTCGGCCGGGACTGAACCACCAATGTACTGATCATCAATACATGGGTAATATAACTATCCATGAAATATATATTCAAGAATAATTAGTTTGTATGTGATTAATAAAAATAATTTGAATTCTTCGAAAATTATTTGGGTTGTACTTTATTTGATGTTGCAATTCTGGAGAATTCGCTTTCTCGAAAGTTGATTTCTTCACCACCGTAAATTATTCGAATTAACAGATAAGAAGTAGATAGGTAGAATTACTGTTTGAAATTCTTACTTATCAGGTTTGAGTCTCGAAAAGGATACTATTATTTCGTGAAGATGCTGGCACATTTGCCTTATTTGTCAAGAATAGGACAAAATGTGCATTCCAGATTCTGCGACATGCTGCCACCAACCAAATAACTTCTTAGTTTTTGATTATAGTGAACAGCTGTGGTCAGTACACTTCATCATTTTGTTAGTAAGAAAAGTTATAAATTGGTGATATTGGATGATGCACGTTCTATATTGTAAAACGGCAGTAATTATAAGTAAAGAGTCATTATTCTCTACATAATGAATGAATAGGACTTGACTTCTCCAAAAGACGATGGTCAAATGTTTGTGCACAACAATATTTGGTTTGCAGTAGTTGAGAAAAGTACCTCAATAGCATGGAAGAAGTCATTACTTTACTGTATTTCTCCTGTTTGAAAATATTTCTAAATTTAATTTATTATAACTTAATGGAGAAATATTTAAATCATTTCGGACTTTCACTGGTTGGATCAAAGTGCGCAGCCTCAGGTTAACATGTTGGCTCCTTGTGCAGATGCTCCGATATTGTCTGACTATTTGTCTTGATGTAAATTGGTGAATGGTGACTGGCAGTGGAATCCAGGATCCTGGGATCCAACCCCAGGTCACATACGTGGCTAACGAGCGTTCTACCACTGCACCACTGACACTCCTTTCATAAGTTAAAGTTTGAAATAAAACGTATGCCTGATAATAAATAAACAGCACATGCGTTAAGCATGAAGGGAAATCACGTTGACTACTGTCGATTCTAAATAAGAAAATAATTTTTGAGCTCACTGGTGAAATACCTTTACAAATACTCAGCTTTCGAATGGTAAAAACAAACTTTCGTACTTCATTTAATTATTTCAGACAATTATATCATCACAGGATAAAATATGACTCACCATGCCGCATTTTCGGTAGCAGAGTGCATCAGCTATGCAACAAATGATTCGCAAAGTAATTTAATTCAGTGGATAACTATGTATATACTCAACTGCATCATTAGTTGCAATATTTTTTATCCAAACATCCTGTTGATTTTGTTATTTCTATATTTCTAACCCCCAATTGCACAATGTCAATCTTCTTAGTTATTATGCTACTTTGTTTGAGTTTTACCCGTCCCCCTGTTTATTATGACATTCTAATTCCTAATTGTAATTTTTATTAATTTGACCCTTAACCGGAAATTATTCTGGAACTTTCCAATCCATTTGATATAAATACACGAATGTACAGCCTAGATGGTGACTTCGTCGAAAAGAAAATTTTCTTCGCTGCAACTGTCTTTTTATTCCCTACGATCAACTACATCTCTTAACTTTTTGACTTAGTAAATAACAGTACCAAATTAAAGTACTTCAGGTATTGATATAAGAATGAAAGTTGGGTTTTAAGAGTTATTTATGTGCACATCTCTGGAAATATCAAATATAAATGTCAGTAGAACATTTGGTGTATTATATAGATTTAGAAAGACACAGACAAATATGACATTGTGAATTTCAAGGGATAAATTCAGAAATGTCACGAACCGTCGACTACTTCAATGTAAATACGCTACACAATGATGCATAGTGAAATTAACTTTGATAATTGATTGCGGAATAGTGTGACAACTAACTGCTGGTAATTTACGTGACTCGGTACATTTTATTCTTCGTAGTGCCCTACAACTATAACAAATGATAAATTCACTGCATTTCACCGATGTACAGTTGAATTTTATCCTTATAGGTGCATTTAGACGGAAAACATTTAGAGTGGCATTCACTGAAATCCAGTCAATCAGCAAATTTGTGTTGTAAAGTCTAAAATATCTTCCAACAACTAATTTCAAAATAACTAACTATAAAATCTTCTAGCATTTTAGGGCGAATTTCTTAGGTTCACGAAATTGACTTTGTGGTTTTAAGGAAAGTTCAGAGAGTGGTTTTGGTTGCATAGTTCATTAGAAATTATCAGGGGATGGAGAGAAGAAGCTGTTAAATAGAAAACGTTAGCTTCGATATTAGACATAGTTTGAGGAAGGCAAAAAGGTGAGAAACGTATGTGTAAAACGGAAGACATTTTATGTAATAATAAAAGCATTTAGTTGATTGATACTTGTCAGTTGTTATAGCTGTGGGGGATATTTCCCTCTTGGAATACCTGAAGTAGAAAGGAAACTGGTTTTACATGACCTCAGAGAGGAGAAGGCAGCTAACTGGGGCCGGTCGTTTACTCTCTGTTTACATTTAATGAAAGTCTTCAATAAGTGCCGATAAGAAATCCCCACCACTTGATTTAATCCATTACATGACAAGTTTTAATGCCAACGGTTTTTGTATATTATTTTACTTATTTTATTTTATTTTTTTTGATTTACAGCTTGATTCCACACCGTATTTTCAGTACAAGTGTGGAATTTTCAGGATGGATATCGGTAGCCCAAATTCAGGCCGACCATAGATATCGGGTGTGCGCCGGCAGGGGATCGAACCCCGGACCATGTGCATGGTTGGCGAGATTCCTAACCACTGTGCCACCGATTTACCTTTCCATAGCCTCAAGGTACTATAAACTGACTGCCAGACAACAGTATGACTCGACCTGTAAGCCTCCAGTCGTGTGTGCTTCAGTATAAACTGTAAGACGGTTGACTGACTTTCCCTCATAGTGATGACTGCAGTTCCCCGAATTCTTCTTTCGAAACTTCTCTGACATTGTTTCTGTGAGCAGTGCGTGGTTGAATTTAGATATATAAATTTGAAGTGTTTTTCATCAGTTTTATCAGTATTACATGTTCGTACGAGATTGTGATCAGCTTGAAAGATGTCTGCGAACTTCAATAATCAAGTACTCATTTGCATTAGAGAGAGTAATGGAAATATTCTTTAAAGACATGATACAACCAAAGCATACCTGAATAGGTCGTCCAAGTAACTTCTTAACAGCAATAATCAAACGTGTTTTGTTTGTCAATATATATAGTTGTGAGACAATCTATCCTGTTCAATGCCTTTAATTTGCTTTCTTTTAGTTGACACTTACTGAAACAGGAAGAAACAGACTTTCATCAAAGATCCTGAATGGAATCACTTTGCAGTATAGTTCAATTTACTTGAGAAATCAACACTCGTAATGCTACCACACTGCTTCGTATATCTGTCAGACTAATGATATGATCTTCATTGTTTTTATCAGTCGTTATATATTTTATGCTGAGACAAAAGCAAATTCATTTCAGGTAAGTGTTATGCATGTTCTTCTTATTGATATATAAGTATCGTGAAATGATTATAAGCAATAAATTGTGCCCAAAGCATCATTTATAAAGAATACTGTATTAATGTATTTTTATCAAATAGAATTATTCTATGACGGAATTAAAATTTCATTCTCCATTACTTAAAGGCTGTTGGAATTTGTCTACTGGATATTAAAATTCCTGCTGTGAGACTGGAATGTGTCTTATCAGCAAGCACTAAAGTTTGAAACAGCTTATTCCTACTGTAAAAACATTTCAAAATATTTTCATACACTAACCGCCACAGTGATGATTGCAAACACTTTCTGATGCAGCGTATTAGTGCATACTGTATTTTAAAACATGAAACAACCAAAGATTTTAGAGTTTGAAGAATATGGCAATCATTAAACACCATTTTAGATTCCACTGAATCATGAAAACGTTTGCCATATCAAAATCCTCAGTCAGAAGCCACGATAAAACAAGAACATCATATAAAGAACCATTGAAAATCGGGGAGTACTGGGTAAATGTTCCTCTCTAGCTTCGTACTCTTCAGTATCACTCATCCACTACCCTACCAATAATCAAACCTAGGACCTTCAGGTTACGAGGCCAAGCTTGCTAACCATTCAGCCGCTGGAGGCAGAACTACAGGACGAGTTACCAGGGGTTCGAGTGAGAAGTCATGACCAAGTTGGTCTCGAGGACAAATACTCACCAATGACATTGCGATAAAATCGAGAACTTACAGGAGTTAGAATTAACGGGTCCAGGTGGTGAGTGGTGAACGAGGTGGATCTCGTAACCTGAAGGTTTCAGTACTCCGTATTTTTCAATGGTCCTCTAAATGAAGTTGATTCGTGATCAAAATCGATAAATAAAATTAGACAGAATATGAAGGGTCAGAATTGCACCGATATAGATCGGAGTGTTAACTCACGGTTCAGAATCGCAGAAGAGATATATGTGAGAAAAAAAGGTGAAAATGTTATTATGTAAGTAATCTTTGGTTTTAAAACGGGATCACTAAACGAAGTCCAGTGTTGTATGAAATAGGTTTTGAAAATAAAACTGACCGTGGTCCTCTTAGAACTAGTGCTAAGGTATAAATGCATATTAAACATGTATGTATTTAATATATTTTGATTACACAAACATTTTGAAATCCGGGTCTCATAAAGGCTTGAATTAGTCTCATATGTCCAAAGACTATTTGTTTATACTCCGTACTTGACTTTGTGATCAAGTTTCAAAGACCAGGAGTTTTCTATATCTAAGCTGTTAAATTTCGAACCATGGACTAACGTTGTGACCCAGTTGTCACTTAACATCCTCGTTAATTTTCTTTACAAAAATGACAAGTAAGTGTGCGATCAAAATTTACAAAATGTATTGTGGTAAATAGGTTACACGAATCAGACAAAATGCTTCTTTTTATTGTTTCGTCGCAATTTGTAGTGATAACTCAATGCTTCAGTCTTCTATTTCTATTCGAAATCATATTAACGTAAGTTACAAGCCTTCACAAATCTCCTTGATAAACGGTATGTAAACAGTTCCATCCGCGCGCAAAATAAATAGAACAGATATCAGTCTTTCTGAGCAAACGGTGTTCTATGTTTTAGGTGTTTTCAATCAAAAAAGTCATAACTAGAAATCACTTTACTTGACCATGAGACCACTTCTTTTGAAGAGACTTATTAAATTACATTCATTTTAACTGTCTGTTCATAAACTTCTCGAGACATTATTCACTTGTGTCAAGTTCATCCATATGAGGATGAATGAACATAAAATGCCAAGTGCAGTAAGTGTATCAAGTTAATCTACAGTTAAAATAAAAATTCAGAGATTAAGAATGAATATCAGGTTACTATTTTGATCTATATTCTCGTCATGGTTGAAATTTGTGATAAAAATATCCTATATCAAAGTGGATAGTAATACTATGCGCTTCACTGGATGTTTTTCAATATTTATGAGACCGAAATTAGGACAGATGGCAAAGAATCATTCTGTTAATCATTCTCATTAAAAGTTCGAAGTAGGACTGAAGAAAGACAGTAGTGGTGCTTTTAGAATTTTAAGTTTTTCCACTTTTATAAGCTAAATTTATCTTTAAAAACCTATTGAGGTAACATCTAGTTGCAAAGTTATCAGTATCGGTATCTCATTACCTTAACAACAAGTCAGAGAAAACATAGACATCAATTCCTAGTCTTAGGCTAACATTTCTACGAATTAAAAGAATCTGACAACTTTCAATTTATAAAAGACATACCTTTTTCCATTTTGTTCAACCTCTGACCCTTTTATCTAGGTCACTAAATCGAAGCATAACGAAACAACAAATAACGATAATGTAATGGATAAGACCACTGAGCTTCAGGAGGATATGAGGCAGAGAAATGAAACTCTCGGTAAGTTTTTTTTCAGTTATTTTTTATTTGAGTAAAGTTTCAGACACTTCTTCATACACTTTGAGTCTTTTTACAGCGGTCAGAACAGTTTGAAAGATATTACGACATGAAATACATAGAATGCTTAAGTGTGCCTTAAGTAATGAGTTTAACAAGACTAAAGAAATAATTTTGTGGAACAGTTAAACAGCGGATCCAGTTAGCGCTCTAATCATGTAGAAAACTCTAAACCAAATAGCACCTCAGTAAGTCAATCAGCAAATATCGTAAAGTGAAAGCGGATTGCTTCACAGCTTTTGGAATACATCTATCTGCTACCTCCATTCACTTAAACAAAAACACTGCAGAAAACTATATTTTTAAAAAGTTAATAATAACTGACTCACCTAATTTAACCGACATCGAAACAGTAAAATTTACAGATGATATCCATAGAATAGTTAATCGTCTATGATTACATGTTTTTCCCAATTTTCCTTTTTTGGATTTTCTTGACAAGATGTTTATCTAGAATACGTGGTAAAAACACAATTACTTTTGCTGTTAACAGGTTGTATGACAGAAGAATCAATCAGAAAAAAAAAGCTAAAGACATTTTTTAGACCCATTTATAATACTAGGGAGTCGACTAAGCAAATAGTGACAATATTTCACTTGTCGAAGGTTTACTCTTTTCAAATTGTATAAATCATCAAGGCGAAAACAGAATAACAAACCTCTCTAATTTGTAGAAGTTATATTAAGAATAAAGATTTCAGCAAATAACTTACTTTACAACGGTATTTTCTGAATGAAAACTTCGTTTTATATCTCAAGCGGATAAGTTTTAGGGTGAATAATAAACCTCAGGATTTCTCGGTATTATTATTAAATAAATAAATATCAGAATGGCTTTGCAGAATATCTAGGACAGATGTAATTGGGTTAATTAACAAGTGAAACTACAAACTCACTCAGAATTTACCATCAGGTATACGTGCAGGGTGGAATAGGGCAAAACAGTAAAATATAATATAACTGGTTGGAGAAACAGAGAGAACATTATGTTTTTTTAATTAAGATCACTGCCAGTTAGATGCAACGAGATCCGCATAATGCCTACAGTAAAAGTGCTGAGAATCCAAACATTGCACGATGGCATACATTATTGATTGATGAGTAGCTGGAAACCACAGCAGATTTTGCGAGCCAGTTCAGAGTTATCTAAACTCCAAATGGCCGATATATGGCTAGTTTGACTAAGCTCAGACAGTCGAATCAGTCTGAATTAAGTGAATTGTGCCACTCGTATGGCAGAATCAGTTTAACAATCAGAAACCCTACATGTTTCTATCACTAAATCGCGAAATGATAAATTTCAGACTTGACAGGCTATTGAGTTCAGCCCGATTGATTTAAGAGGAACTTGTTCCCCTCGTAACTTGAAAATCCTGCATTCGGCCATTATTCGGATGATGGCGCGGATTGCTATGGAAATCACAAACAAGAACAAAATGCCTTCCCAGTGCCGGATAGTTTTCAGCAGTCTTCTTATAAGCTTATCGACCTCGAAATCAATCGAATTCTTGCGAATAAAACCTGAGGAATAAATTCGGAAGTATTTTCGACTCTATTAATCTGATTTTGAGTGATAAGTTATGCTTGCTTGGCTAAAAGTCAAAATTGTTACTTCATAGTACTCGGGAACAAATCAGTCGTCTGGTGTCAAGTTGCACTCTGCCACAATGAGCAGATTTTATTCTTGCAAAATATGATAATCTAAGTGAGACTGTAGTAAAAACGACTTGATAAATACCTATTAGGCTTTTGCAATTATTAGTGTTCTCTGAGTTGGTTGGTTTAGTTGGTTTAGTCAAAATCCTAGACAGAGGAAACACCAAAAGTGCCAGGGAATTCCTAGAAGCTTGGTACTCAAACGAAAATGCAATTAATAAACACGTTAATATAGACGAAATATAACAACCAAAAAAAGTAAATCAGGTGACCAGAAAGTTTAAAATCCAAGTCAATAGTAAATGGTCAATTCATCTGTAAAGATGGTTACCAGGAGACGCAATTATATCACTCATGAAGAAATTTAAATTATTTCACTTTATGCTAAATTTTGCTCTGAAGATGTTGTACAGAAGGACGACGAAAGCTTTGCAACTAAACCAACCAGCTCAGAGAACAATATTAATTGCAAATCATCCAGCTGAGTTACAAATCTTCTCTATTACCTATTAGGCTTATCAAATTATTCCTTTGCTGCAGTTCATTCAAAGATTCAAAATAATCAGCGATATTATGGTTAGAAAAATAAAATTTAAAAGTTTATCTTTTCTCTTTCTTCTTGTGCTCCACCTGGAACTCAAGAAATGAATAATATTGATTAATCTTTATTCTATTCATGGCGAATTCCCAACTGGACATTTAGAAAATCAAATCAAGTTATTCAGCTAAGAGACTCTTTCCAATGAATTTTTTATCAAGCTACACAGTCGTATATGCACATGATTTTTAATAACAATAATGTGAATTGTGACAAAAAAATCATTGGTTATGCATTTTTCAAAATAGTTCATTAATTATATAAATCTCACAGAAAGAGTGTAGAAATAATAAGATTACTAGGCCATTCAAACATTACGCAACAAGGTTATTGCTGTGATAAGAAAAGCACTGTAAAATATTATACTGAAATAAATACATTAAGATGACAAGTGAGATAACACCGGAAATTGTTCAGAGGAGGAATGTACAAACTGAATAAACAAAATGAAAAATAAACAGAGTCGAATTAAGAATAGTATTTATGAAAGTTAGCGAAGACGGATTAGGACTACGAAAAAGGCGTGACTGGACGAATATTGTTTGTATACATAGAATTGGTCTTTGTATTTTGATGGCCAAAGCTTCAGCAATACAGATGGGTTGTGTATATCCAATGATTTAGGCAGGTTATTTTTTTGGAAGGAATAGGCTGTAGAAATAAGGTGACCAGCATTGACCGGATGCTCAGCTGTCGCGCTTCTTATAGCTCCACTCCAAATTCCTCGTAACCACTCCGAATAGTATTCTGATACTTTCTTAGACGAGCTGAATGACCGATATACCTAGCTCCAGAGGAGCAGGTGAACTGATAAACTCACATAGAGTTGGTCAATTGTGGGGTGTTGTGTTACTGAAAAGTAATAGTTGCATAGAAGACACTATTTGCAATGGTTCCACAGCGAATATCCTATGCAGAGGATGCAAGATCCTTCTTCGAAGGATGCCAGTAGTTAAGCCAAGATTCATATGCAGAGACGTAGAGACGTTAAATCACATTTCATAGGTTTTAACTATATGTTCGTGTCTACAAAACATGGAGGAATTTCGTTTTCTGCTAGGAATTTCCTTATAAACTTTAATTCTCGCTCGAAAACATAAGGACCACTCACTCCAAAAGCAACTTTGGAAATGAGTTGAACTCTTAGTGTATAGACTATTGCGCAACACAAAGCCAAATATTTTTGTATTTTGTTTGAAACTATTCTCAAGTTCATAAGCAAAACGAATCATATCAATTCTACTACGATATAATGTTACTTTTATTCAAGTTAATTCACCACATCATCCAAAAACTTTAATATCTGCATTTATCCTTTGGGTTAAGAGAGAAATTTTGTATTTACTCGACAATAGTATCACTAATGAACACGAGCACAGTTTTTCCTTGCTGAATTCCCCACCATCAATCCTTCATCTACTGATGAATAGGGAATAGCAATTGAAATAGTGTTACATTTTTCAAAACTTGTCAATGTCAAGACAGTTAATCGGAAGTATAAGACACGTTTACAATCACTGAATAGGTGTAAAAATATGTTAATTATGCTTAAGGCGACTTTCATACTTGTGAAAGTATTATCAATTTTTTTAATGTATTTAAGTCAAATGAAACTTGCCTAATTTTTTAAAACATTTGACATTTATTTGGAATTGTATGTATTTCACTATGAAAGGCAATCAACACGTTCTACTTGTATCGTCTGAACTAAATTACACTTTTCTTACCATGACTTGCCAGTTGAATTAAACAACGAACTTTTTGGATGCCATATGAGCCAATAAACTGGAAAATAAATCTGAAATAAATTCAAGTAAACGTGTTTAGAAATCTACGATTGTGGTAGAATATGTAAGGAAATTGCAGGTACGCCTTGCTGACAACTGCTAGGAAGAACGAAGACTATGTTTAGGGCTTTCTGCTATCGATGACCAACCACTACCTCACATAAATGCAAGGTACACAACGATAGTTAGTTACACCACAGTGTAATCTTAACTAGTAGAACTTAGCAAGCATCAGCTACTGGTTTCTGTGTTGTAAACAATCATCGTGTTCACTACAGTCCCATTAGAAATCAAATGTGAGTTAGAGTATTCCAGTAGCAAGTGCACTGACTGCAGCACTAAGAACTCTACTTCACCCCTCCCGCAAAGACATATCAATTCAATTGAATTTGAGATTCCGTCTGGCTAAATAGTCCTAAAGGCACAAAATCTAGGCTCAAAGATCCCTAGTGACTGCCCCTAACCAATTAACTTCAACTGAATTCACAGATTAATCCACTAGTGATTTCTTTTCAGAGCCACAACTGTATTACACCATTTCTTTTCCGTTTTTTCTACCTGTAAAGTTGTTGTTAAATGTTTGCTTAATAATAAGAATCATGAAAACACAATTATGATGACATCCTGAGACCAGACTACCCTCATACATAATTCAGTCCAGTTTATACAAGCCTGTGGTTCTTTCGAAATTTGGCACTCCATTTCATTCATAATTCATAAAAGTAAATATATATTATAAGACGTAAGAGAAGACGGGGATTTCAGACTTTCAAAACTCTGATATCTTCATCGATTTATCCTTAGTTTCGGATATTTTGGGTTCAAATAATCTTCGTTGTTTCCTGTTGTAAGACTGATTCTACAATTTTAGATTTATTTAATTTTTTCTTATTAAAAATTTAGATGAAAAAGTGGATACTACTAACCAGGTTAATTCGAAAAATTCGACCACAATAAAAACACCCCCTGAAATTAGATCATTTCAGAATAGTCAAAAACACTCTTCAATGCTCTTAACAACACAATCGGCAAGAAACGCTTCAACACTGAAAACACAACAAATTCATTATATCACATTTAAACAAGCGGACTGTTATCTATGCAGTCAAAGTTTACATCTCTATGAAAAATTTCATCTACAATTTCGATTTCGTACATCACAAGAAAATGGTTTATTATTGTTTAATTCAGGCAAACAAGGGATTGACTTTTTAGCATTTGAATTAATGAAAGGTTATTTACATTTTGTATTTGATATGGGAAGCGGTACACAACGTCACGCCTTGACAACACAACCTGTTACAGATTCAAATTGGCATCATGTTGAACTATCGAGGTAAGTCCTAGAGGTCTAAAATTTGTTTGTAAAATTTTATTATGATCATCATCTCTTTTTTTAATTCTCCGTGACAAGGAAAACTTGTTTTTCTTAGATGTTAACATATGTGTACAACTAGTAATTTGTGCGTCGGTGGCATAGTGGTTAGGACGCTCGCCGACCATGCACATGGTCCGGGGTTCGATCCCCGGCCGACGCACTCCTTTACCTTGTTGAGCCAAAAATAATTCTGGTAAAGAGGAAAGGTAGGGCATGAGGCTAGCAACCACATCCTGTAAAGATAAACACTGCTACAGAGACTTCAAGCCACAAGCTTGAAGCCCTATGTTCCACTGGGGAACGTGAAGGAAAAAAAAACAACTAGTGTAACAACAGAAGACTAGGGCCAGGCAACAGATCATTTATTAAGGAAATCAAAGCATATTTATATATTTTCATGTACATTATTATAGATGAGTTAAGCAAACAAACACAGTCTTCCAATTGGTTGTTTCTCACTTAAAGTTAATCTTTCATCTCTTTGTGACTGTTTCTTGAATGTCAGATCATCTATATGTTAACTGCATCCGCCTATGCAAAGTCTGCTGTGGTCGGTTTTGAATCAATCTTTGTTCATATTTTCTCACGACAAATCTTGAGAACTTGGCTAGTAGACAGCTCTCACCACACTAGTAATAAATAATGTCCTAATGTGACACTTCGTTTCCATCAGTAAGACGCACAAACTGTTCAAAATTCAGACATTATTGTAAGGCGTTTAAAACTTACATAGTAATAACTCAGGAAGATGTAAGAAATCGATTATATCGATTGTACTTCAAATTCATCAGTTCATTCGCCACTTTAGTACATGCTATCTTTCACTAAGAATTCTTCAGGCTTAATACTAGACGTCAATAAAATCTTTCCTGTTGCTCCCTTTGGTATTGTGAGGCACTACAGTAAGTAGTAAATTAAAAGTTTTAAGCTTTAAGCGTAATATCTCTGGAAAATTCTTGAGAGTGAGTAGTATTTACACGCAAACGTGCCTTGAACAATGATTTAATTCACTGTTCTCAAGGCAAAAGTTTTGTGACATTTCTGATGGCTTATTTGAGCACCATGATAAATTTATTGCAGGTTTCCAGCCTTTAGATAATAAACATTTTATCAGATTATATGAAATCTCTAATTAGTATACAAGAACAATCTCGGATATTGATCTCTGCTGAAATATTGACGTAATTGTTACAATATTAACTGAATTATTTGTGTGTTGAAGGGGATAAAAGACTACTCAGTGGACAGAATGTTTTGAATCTACGAAGTTATCTTCTAAGGCTGAACAGTAATAACGTATAGTTGAATATTACTGACTGTTGACAAGGTGCCACATACGTAGAACAGTTGCTTAGAAGTTGCTTCTCAAAACAGGCAGAAATTAAGTAAAGATTACTGAAAAAATAGAAGTATTGGTTTGAAGTTTGATAAAGTAAAAATTTCTGATGGGTGAAAAACAAGCTGGTTGATTATTCATATGACACGATGACAGAGAGGGCTAAACTATCCGTAAAATTCACAAGAAGGATATGTGAGAGTGATTTTAGGCAAGTGCTCACTAAAAATAGGAGTGAACAAGTAGAAAGAAGTTTAAGACCATGATTTAATGACTGAATGAATAGACCTCTGCTTTATAACAATTAAGGTCGGGGTTCTGCTGACGAATCAGTAGTGTCTTCGCACTATTTATGTTATGTTTCTGTTAATTAATTTGTTTTCTGTTGCATGTTTTTTGTACCAGAACGGATCTTCATAATAATGTTGTTCAATTAGTTCTTGATAGAAACACACCTGACGAACAATTTTTAAATATATCAGTAATAAATGGTGCAAGTGCAAGAAATTTTAACTTAAATGACCCATTGTATATTGGCGGTGTACCACAAGATATTTTTCTAAACTGGAGGGAGAAACTTAACTCCTACCATGGATTTCAGGTAAGTGTACTTTATCAATATTGGAATAACTGATCAAGTACAACAACAGAAACAAAATAAACGTATGTTTTTGTTCTGAGGTATTTTTTTGTAATTGCTTTCATATTCAGAACTCTTGAAGCGACTTCAGATTTGAATGTGAAATTATGATCTAGTCACCACTACGACAATATTTCTGTCTTAAATCTCATTATCAGAATGTTAGTCACGCATTTCCTCGCAACACTCTACCAAACAACTAGGTAACTCTCAGGCAAAAATTCGTCACAAATTAAGCCAGTGAAGGATGAAAATGGAAAGTCAATCACCAAAGAAGTGGAGCAAAGGAAACACTGGACTGAACACTTCAAAAGACTACTAAACCGACCGCCACCTACAACGCGCCCAACAATACCAACAACGGAAGCAGAATTACCAGTGAACATCAACCCCCCGAGGAGAACAGAAGTCCTGAAGCCAATCAAGATGCTAAGAGCTGGAAAAGCAGCAGGACCAGATGGAATCTCAGCAGAGGCATTGAAAGTGGACCCAGAGACAACAGCGGACTTGATGACGCCACTACTGGAGAAGGTGTGGAAAGAAGGCAAAGTACCCGAGGATTGAAAGAAAGGATACTTATTCAAACTACCAAAGAAAAGAGACTTAAGTCAATGCTAGAACTGGCGCGGAATTATGCTCCTGTCCATCCCAAGCAAAATACTAAGCCGCATCATTCTGAAAAGGATCAAACAAGCCCTAGATGAAAAACTTCGACCGGAACAAGCTGGATTCAGGAGAAACAAGTCATGTATTGGTCAAATCGCCACACTACGGATCATCATTGAACAAAGTTTAGAATGGCAGTCACCTCTCTATCTCAACTTCATCAACTCTGAAAAGGCCTTCGACAGCGTCGATCGAGAGGTGATTTGGCAACTACTTCGCTACTATGGAGTGCCGCCGACAATTATACATCTCATCCAACAGCTATACGACAATGCTGCATGCCAAGTAATCCACAATGGGAAACTTACGGAACCCTTCGAAGTGAGGACAGGAGTAAGACAAGGCTGCCTACTATCACCAATGATTTTCCTGATTGCAGTAGATTGGATAATGCGACAGACAGCGGGCAATGAGGAAACAGGCATAAAATGGACTCACACAAAGAACTTGGAGGATCTGGACTTCGCCGATGATATATGTCTGATTTCCCACAAACTGGAAGATATGCAAGTGAAAAGTAACAAGTTGGCAGAACAAGCATCAAAGATAGGACTCCAGGTGAACATAGAGAAAACGGAGGTGATGAAGATTCCTGGGCAACACCACCAACAGCAACAACAACAGACAGCAATCAGCATAAATGGGAGGAACCTGAAAGAAACTACCTCCTTTACCTACCTTGGAAGCATCGTTTCAACTACAGGCGGAACTGACGAGGATATCAAAGCAAGGATCGGAAAAGCAAGGCAAGCTTTCATTACTCTCAAGTCTGTGTGGAGGTCAACAGCATTCAGCGTCAAAAATAAGATCCGGATTTTCAACTCTAATGTGAAGTCAGTACTACTATACGGATCAGAGACTTGGCGTGTCACAAAGAGCACCTCAAACAAGCTACAGACCTTCATTAACAGACGTCTTCGCTCAATACTCAAGATCAGATGGCCGGAAAGGATCAGCAAAAAGATCTCTGGGAGCGAACCAACCAGGAACCGATTGTGAAACAAACAGGCAGGAAGAAATGGAGATGGATTGGCCATAGTCTGAGGAAACCATCAAGTGACATCACTAGACAAGCCATCGCTCGAGTGGAACCCGAAAGGGAAGCGACGAGTTGGTCGTCCAAGGGTGACCTGGAGGAGATCATGTGAAGAAGAATTGAAAGCGTATGGGCAGACTTGGAGCCAGGTGAAAAATCTAGCAGAGAACCGAACGCAATGGAGACGCATGGCTGAAGCCCTATGTTCCTCTAGGAACTAAAGGAAATAATAATAATATAATAAGACCTCAAACAGAATTCGTTGTGATGTTATGTTATACTGCACTCACAACTACAAAATACATATGTAATTAATTATATTCCATGTTAAAAGACGCCACTAAAATCTGACACGCGTTAATCAGTTTAAGTAATACAGCAGTGTTCACCGTTATGCAGTAGCAAAAAGGTTGATATCATAATGTCTGAATAAATATCTGTCGTAACAGAAGTAGGTATAATTTAATTCCGCCTCTTTTGGTACTACAACGTACAGATGTGAGTGAAATGTAAGTTTCGCATTCATGCCTTCCTGCTATGCGTTGATAATCAGGAAATGCAGCTTCAGGCTTTACCTGTTATTCTCTTCAGTATCCTATTTACTAATGAGAGAATAGTTAGGACAGTCTGAGGTTATTCAATCTTATAGAAAATTATTCCCTAAGTAAAATAAAAAAGTTGTCGGAAGCTGTTACGTAAATTACATTCAAATGCAATTTCCTACAGTAATTCTTTTATAACATAAACTTGAATAAGAGAATATGTGTGTTTATCAAACAGTAAATTCGCTGTTTAGTTTAGGATCCAGTAAGTTCAGTAATTCTGCAGTAGGGATTTAATTGGTTTCCGGATATCGTCATGAACTAACATCGATTAGAGGATCATCGGAAAACCTGGGAGTGCAATACAGCTGTTTCGTCCCAGTTTGGGACACTTCACAGCACGTACCCATCACCAGAGTTCGAACACAGGACCTTCTGGTTACAAGGTTAGCTCGTAGACCATTAAGCCACTGGGGTGCAGTAGCTCGAGTGTGAAGACTAATTCTAGCCAATGACATTACCTAGTGGTCACGTTATGTCTTGAATTGGCAGCAGTTGGAATTCATGGGCCATTGGATTGAGTCCCAAAGGCTTAGTGGTCTACGAGCTCGTCTTGTAACCAGAAGTTCCTAGGTTCGAAATCCCTATGAGGGTTGTGTGTCGCTGAAGTCTCGAGCACCAGGACAAAACAGCTGTCCAGTACTCTCAGCTGTTTTTCCAATGGCCTTCTAACCGATGTCAGTTCATGATGAAATCCTGAATGCTGTATTACCTTTTCGAAATTGAATAAAAATGGGAATTATATCAGAGTCTACTCAGTTATTATTTGTAAAATTCAGAGTTTCACAAACACTTCAAAAAGTGATCATGTATCAAGATGTCCTATTTTAGACAAAGAGTATAATACTGAAACTTAAATTTCATTCGAGACAGTAAAAAGTCGACGTACACTATCTCAAATATTTTAGCCAGTCAGTTCTAGAAAGAAGAAATCAGATAAGATGTAATCAGTTATTTTCAACTTCAGTGATTATTGTTACTTGACAATAATCTACTTTAGTGTTATAGTTAACGTATTGTACTTGTTTAGTCAGCCCACTCTATCATTTCCTCAAGGGGGTTAAATGAAACACAGTTCGATAGCAACCATTAGTGTTTTTCATACAAAACCTTCAGTAGGATTAAGGTTTGATTAATAGCCTCATCAATCATCGAAAAGATAAAATGTAATTATTTTTAAAACTTTTAATAAAAAAATATACCAAAAGCAATAAATTCGTCATTTTCTTCAAGAATTAATTATTAAAAGAAAATGACGTTAACAGTGAAGAAAATTCACTTTTCGACGATTCATTTTCATAAGCTCTACACTCGTAATTATATTCAACAAGGAATTAATGTGACCAATCAGATGCTGGTAAAATTCTTCGTCGAAAATGTATCACATAATGTAAGGTGTAATCTAGAAGATAATGACTATTGGGAAATTCCAAAAATGTGTGGGAAGCTAGGATGACGTAATGTGCGTGGGGAGATGACTAATTACTATAAGTGAATAATCTGAACAAAAACCAGTGGAAGAACAATAGAGTATTTCGGAAAATCCGTATGGAAATGCAATGTTATTAGTAAACACTATTAGACTGATAATAAAATAAGGGTAGTGAGGATGACAACAATCATAAAAAATGATAGTAAGCTTACATAAGAACATCACTCTGACCACGGTAGGGCAAGTGAATGTTTGTAGTGCTTTTTAAAAGCAGAGATCTGGTTCCAGGTTCCCAAATAGTCAATGATTCAACTAGTTTTTCGTTCACTCTAAACTATCATACTGATCAGTCATTTTCTCATACTTATTATGTCATCCCGACTTCTGCCCCCTTTTCTAATTTTCAATTAGTCGTCCCCTTCTAGATTACACCTTACATTATATGGTATATTTTTGATGACAAATTTTACCAATATCTGATTTGTCACACAAATTCCTTGTTGAATATAATTTCGAGTGTAGAGCCTGTGAAGATGAATCGTCGAAAAGTGAATTTTCTTCGCTGTTAACATCTTTTTCTTATGACTTAGTGTAGGAATATTCCGTTCATTAAATAATTATCTGTATTATAAATGTTTTTCTATTTCCCAGTGAATGAAAAACAAAACGACATTGATTTTCATTCATTGGGAAATACAAAAGCTTTTATAATAATGAATATCATATAACCAAGGCCCAAATTTATTCAAACTGTTCAAAGTGAACTTGGACATATATAAATTATTATCGCTGCCTAACCTAAATTCATGAAATCAGTGAGGAAAGAAAATCACAATCCACAAGGAAGTGTTAAAATTTTATGAACTGCAATATTTGTCGACTGCTTTGAAGATCCATTAAGCTACACCAATTCAGACTACAATAAATGATAACCTCTCTGTGAAATCCAAAGAATCGGGCATTACCTTTTAATAGATCATCATAACTTCTGAATTAATTTAAAAAATAATTAACAAATAAGAAGTGTCAGCTAGTCGTCAAATCACACGAATTTAACTCCTGATTCTAAATGAAAAATTGTATGCTTAGGTGTATTCTGTATTCTCGACGTCCATCTGATAAGAAACGACAACAACTCTTTGAAAAAGTCCTTATACAAAAAGCCTACATAGAATGGACAATTCATCAACTTTCAAAGCTTCGTGCCCCTAAGCAGAATGAGGAACCTGATATACGCTCTTTCCTCATGGATTCGGAAGATATGCAGCGAAGAAGTGATTGACGAAGAACTAAGTAATCTCCGAGGAACCCTGATGGAAAATGGTTTTCCGCCTAGGTTCATAGACAAGAATCTCAAGTCAAAGAAGACTTCCGAACAAATCCAATCCGTCCCGAAGAAGATACTCCTGCTTAATCTAGAATTCAAAGATGGCATTGAAGCAGAAATCCTTCGCAAACGCCTCTCCAAATCGCTCAGGAAAACATACTTCACCGCGAGCCTACGACTGACGTTTTCCTGCAAGAAACTGTTCAACCAGAACGCGAAAGACAAGCTGTTGCACTGGGCCACCTCAACGTGCATATACCAGTTTACTTGCTCTTGTGGAGCTGGGTACATCAGCTGTACCATGCGCCGACTTGGAAAACAGGCTCGCGAACACTACCCAGCCTGGCTAGTATAAGGAGACCGAAAACGTGTATCTAGTTCAGTGACAGATTTTCTGGTCAACTCAACACATTCAGCGCCTTTCGAAAAATCCCTCAAAGTAATATACAAGATTCAATCAAACCTATCAAAGGGAGTGAAATCAAGACATCTGGGTATAGCCAAGGCACTAGCTATCCAAAAGCTCAAACCCACTGGTTATATCCAAAGGAATACGTCCAACCCCTGTCCGTGCCATGGCCATCATAAACAGGTAATTCCTTAAGTAATGACCTACCTATTGCCTTTCCTATCCAAACTTCCTTTTTATTCATGTTATTTTAAGTTTTTCTTAATCCCTGTCTACACTACTGTATTTTCATATCCACACTTCCTCTTTATTTTGTCATTTTACTATTTCTACATACTTAATCCCTGATTGGGTAAACAATTATTCATCACATTAGTTTTTTATCGAAACATCCTGTCGATTTTGTTATTTCTACATTTCTAACCCCTAATTGCACAATGTCGATCTTCTCAGTTATTATGCTAATTTGTTTGAGTTTTACCCGTCCCCCTGTTTATTATGGCATTCTAATTCCTAATTGTAATTTCTATTAATTTGACCCTTAACCGGAAATTATTCTGGAACTTTCCCATCTATTTGATATAAATACAGGAATGTACAGCCTAGATGATGACTTCGTCGAAAAGAAAATTTTCTTCGCTGCAACTGTCTTTTTATTCCCTATGATCAAATGTGTTCCGTGATTTGAAAATTAGATAACACTTTATTGAAACGAATCCGAGCAGTCTTGCAGCGAAAATCAAATTTTTAGTGTTCATTTGGAGTAGAGATGTTAACTGATATGTCTTCGTTATCATAGTCACATTCTGAACTACTCTGAAATAGTCGCGTACAAAGCGGCAGACAGTATTTTATTTTTCTCAAACTTTATATTATTCCTTTGCATTCCGAATGGAACAGAGGCTTTCAAACTTGAGCCTTGAAGTTTCAGTAGCAATAGTGTTTAGTTTTTACGAATTGGGTTTTCTAGTCTTACGCCCAACCCTTCCTCTTTACCGTGCTTACTAGTGGCTAAGCGGGGTTTAGGAGTGCGTCAGTTGGAAATCTGACCCCGGACCACATATGTTGTTGGCTAGCACTCTGCCTCTGAATCACTGACACAGACAATACAAAAGACTGGGAAAAACGCTTTGTAAGATATTGCTCCACATCCAAATAGCCATCTGATGAAACTGATGACATAGTGTGAGCTGATCACAAACGAAACTCAATTGAGGCTGATGGGATATATGAACAATTTTATTAAAAGGAACCGAACAACAAGCATTCATCAGAGAATATGCGCAATTTACACTAGTATGTGAATACTAATACCAAGATAGTGACTTACTATAATGAAATGAGTCCCTCAACATCATTATATAACATTCGTCAATGGCATGAGGGCTTATGTGCACGAAAAATATTGAATGAAGTGGAAATAAAGAAAACTATAGACACAGAAGAATGACTGGAAGAAATGCGTATTACCCAAAAATGAATATCCTTAGAAAATATTCGCCCAAGTACACTTCTAGCTGCAGCAACTCAAGTGTGATAGAGATCATAAGCATCAAATCAGGGCAAACCGGTCATATTTATCAGAAATCGGTTGGATTTTAGAAATTTATGCATCTAGATGCTTATCATTATAATGCTGTAATGTGAAATCTAGAAAATAATTTTGATTGGACACTGGTTAACCACTAGTGTAATATGTCTAGTCCTTTTTTGGTGCAGACTGAATTCTATCAGTCAAGTTTGCAATGTGGCCACCATTGTAGGTAGCTAGCCATCATTGGACACTTTGAACTGTTGATATAAGATGGTTGGAAGGAATAGAATTCCGTCTACTACAAACAAAGGACTAGACACATTAAACTACTTACTAAATAGTGTCCAATCAAAATTACCCAATACAGTCCTACAGGAGGTCAGTTACGAGATCGAATAACTCAGTGGTAGCGTCTCTAGCTGCAGCACTGGGTGATGAAGGTTCGAATCTCAGAAAGAACAAAGGTTCCTTCAAGGTTGCAGATACGCCTTGCTAATGAGTGCCAACTAGCACGAAACCCAGGTCAATCAAGGGGCTACTGCCGGTTTCCTCCAGCCATATAATATCAACAATGGACGGACTTCGTTCTTTCCATAAATAAATGAGCTACACAACAGTGTATTTACTTTTGCTCAAATAAATCCTCTGTTCATCAGAAAAAGGATTAAACATGAAAATAAATATAACATACGCATTTTTTGGAAAATGTAGGCTTTATTAAGGTTAGAGGACTTTTATCTAATATACCTTTAAAAGACAAAAGCCGCTATCTGAAATTCCCTGTCAGGTACTTCCTGGCGTCTAGGACTATCTGCCTTTGTCAACATTTTCCCAAGGAATACAGTCTTTAGGTCGTTTTTAGATCACTATATTCCACCAGTAGATACCAAGTAAAAAATAGGTTTTCAAGTTTATTTTCATTTCACTTTTAAACTCTCCTCATATTTAAGTGAAACTCTTTATAATTATCTCTTTCAATAAGGGATGCTTTGGCAATTTCTCTATAAATCACCAACATAATTTTGACTTGTTGAAAATGGCTAAACTGAAATATTCCAGTAACTGGACTATCCCATTATGTTACGACCAAATAGCTTACAAATGTCTTGATCGTCCGAAAGATGCTGCAGAATGTAGTAAAATCCAACAAATTCAAAAACCGATTCATCAAAAGCTAACTACAAATGAAATTATTAGTGGACAGCATTTTCAACCATACTGTTTAAATGATGGACTCTGTTTACAAACATGGACAGCAGTCGTTTGTGCCTGTGAATTAACTTCGTTTGATGGACAACGGTGTACTGAAGGTCAGTTTGAAATGTGGGTAATTTTATCAAATAATTTGAGTTTGTAATTCATATCGTGAAAAGGAATATTTTGCGATAACTTACAAAGCCTAAAAGCTACTATATACAAGCTTCTGAGTTATTAATTCTTTTTAATAAATTAAAACATGTGGTTCAGGGAAGAGGATTTTTGCAGCGAATTCATTTTCTTCATTAGCCGCACAATCGTATTTATATACGATTTTATCACTAAATAGTTTAGTAACAAATGTGACGAACTGTCATAGTCATAGTTATTTATAGTGGTCAATGCATAGGAAGAGTTGAGTAAGTGTATTGTAGTTTTGTAATAAAATGAACAATTTAATGAATGATTTGTAATCAGGATGCAGATAGAAACAAAGGAAAATACAGAAATGTGTAAGAGTTCTAAAGGAATACAAGAGTTGGAAAAACAAAAGAACAAAATCCAGTCTTACCATGATAGTAGAAATGCTTGAGTGATTTTTTTTGGCATACATAGCTCAAGTTCCTCTAAATGAATGACTGAGGCTTCAGCAGTGCGGAAGAGACGAAAGCGTATTACCTTCGATAGGTTGTTCTATACTTTGTAGGTTACTTCGAAGGAGGCATTTGTTGAAATGGAATGACCGTTTATTGACAAGGTGTTCGATTATCACACTCCTTGCAGGGCCACTACTACTTCTTGAACTGTTTTAGACAAGATAAGCGTCGAGTGAGTTTTCTGTATTTCCCAATGAATGAAAAAAGAACGTCTAATATCATCAGAAGCCCTTCATATCAAATGGAATCCAAATTGTCTCGATAGGAATGATGGGCTACAACAGAATTTGACCTGGCTGCAACATCAAACCACCACATGAAACGACAAAATCAACACGAATGTGATAAGCAATTTCATTATGTAAACACATGCTGGTTTTATAATTTTACACACTGATCAAATCCAACAATCTGCACCTGGTTTTGTTATCTTTACCAACTAGCCAACTTGACAACGCAAAAGTTACCCCATGCTGAGGAACGATGATTAAGTTGTTATATAAGCTGAGATTTTGTAAATTCTAGTTTAATGATACTTTCATAAAGCTATTAGCAGCATTAAATTGGGAGACTTTAGTAAAAAAAATATCGTTTTGTTTTTCATTCATTGGAAAATACAAAAACTTTCATCATAATGAGTAGTGCTATTTAGTTATGAAAAGGGTTTCGGAATGTATCATATCAAATAAACTTATTTAAAATGAAACGGTAGTTGTGGAAAAATAGCTACTTCTTTCCTGTCATTAAACTGCTATTAGTTTTTGGAATACTTTCTTCAGTCAATCATTGTGAAGTGCCTACAAATAGGAAATATTTCTTTGAAAAATACTCACCATAGAAACACTTTTTGCTTGATTAAACTAATACATTAGAATAATTAAACCATTTAAATTTATTGAATTTAATCCCAGATACTTTGTTCACAATTTGAAGGCTAATTCATTGGCTTTACCTTCCGTTCAACTTTAGCTGAAATAGTAAATTTAGGCTGCATAGTTTGAAATTACAGCAATAGACTGCAGTGAAATATAATTACAGCCACTCTGAGTAAAAAATATGCCTATCGCAAACTGTAAGTCATACTATTATCTAACGTGAACACAAATACACACAACCGTTCTTTTTCCAATGATGTAGTTAAAACAACCAGGTTAACATGATATAAATGCCATATAATTCGAAATAAGGAACGATCGGAATCAAGGTTCATGTTAGCCTACAGTCTGACAAGATTAACAAGGCCCAGCGCTTGATTTTTATCAACTGAATCTTCAGAGTCCCTTTAGACTAGTATCATTAACAAACTATGCAAAATAAGAAGCACGATGGCATAATGATAAAGTATAAGTCCGAAATTTTTATATCTGGCTATGCAGAGAAGTGTAGTCTTACTCTTTCTGATCTTCAGTAAACTGACAAATCAGGTTTTATGAGCTTCAAACGACACGACGCAAAATTACTTGGTTCAATGCGTTTTTGTCAGTACCTTTATCTGCAAATTTCGAATTTCTTACGTCACCTTCAGCTTTGATTGGTTGGAGGATTTCATCATGAGCTGACATCAGTTGGAGAACCATTGGAATACCTGGTTCTGTAACTAATGTCAGCTCTAGATGAAATCGTCCAACCGATCAAGCTAAATCCCTACAAACCAATACCTTCTGCTTTAGCTTACTTTCGAATCTTAACTGGATTTTCTATTTCCATCACAATGCGAACTTACGGTCACTCATGAGACATTGAATAATACTAACTAAACTGGTCGGTGTTCCTCCGTAAAAGAGTATTTTAACTCAGTTTGATGTTATAAAGTGGAAGTACATTTTTGTTACCTATCTCCGCTGCCTACTAGTAGTATTTTTCCCATTATACCTGCAGTTTAGTGAATTTACTTTATTTCGCAGATAACGTATTGCATATATGTACTCTATGATCACATAAACTTCTTAGTACAGTTGTCAGTGCTTCCCACTTACATTAGTAGCACTAATAATTTTTCCAATTACAGTAGTACTTTTATTTCGATTAGATACTGAATGTAATCTCTACGATATCCATTGAGTAACACTGCATTTATTTTCTCGTTAACGCAAAATGACTAACAATAAGGAATAACATTTGTAAAAAATTTAAATTTATAAAATCTCAGCAAGATTGAAATGAGTAATTCCAACGTTTCATTCGGAAATCTGGTCCGAACTTCTTCACGGAAATTAATCGGAATTAACATAACAGAGGTTTATATATAAAAGGAACATCTCTTGTTTTTAAAAACTTTGTCCAATCATAAGTCATGAAACAGGTATCAACAAATATAATAAACAAAATTGTATGAGCTGTGATCAAAATTTGACCTTGAACTTACAAATATTGGTCTACTTTCAGTCTCGCTGAGATTTTACGAATATAATTTTTTACAGATGTCTACTTCTCATTCTGTCAAATCTTGACGACAGTTCATATGAATAAGGAGTAACTTTTGAACCCACAAAAGACAGGTTTAATTTTTTTTATGGCTGAGGTTTCAACAAATTCAAGTATCTGACCCAAATTTGTTTTATATATGGGTTTAAAGGTATTATCGAAATCACCCTTGTAACCCGTCTCTGTGACGATAATGGACATTTATTTCTAGGATTAATTGTATATGATGATTTTATCTGTCCTGGAAGCCACGTTGGGATGCGTTCCCTAGCCCTAAACTTCAGAGACCAACGGTTCCTGCCTATGTACCTGTGACCATACATACATGTAAATTGTTAAACCCAGTGTCGATCACATACTTTAAAAACGAATAAATTTCGACTAATGAGCAGTTTATCTGCTTCATCTATAATCAACTACATCAAAAAGACGTCTGTCTCACAAATTTGCATTCTCTTTATTCAATCCTGAACAGCTGGAACAACATTTCTGTATGATTTTGACTCTCTTGCATTTAAACGCAAACGATTACTTGGACGCAATGACTCAATACTTGAGAATAATGATAATGAACCGATAGGTGGATTACAATTTATATACACAGACATATCAAGAAATACAAGACAAGACGAATTTGTGCTTGGAGTTCAAACATTACCAGCGAATTCTGTGGACAAAATCAAAGATCCTATTTCTCAATTGTACAATAATTATATTTCAACCTTGTTATTCGTAACCGGATTCACACAGAATGGTGATTTTCTGCATTTATTTCTGGTAAGTTTTATTAAATAGTTATGTAAACGTTATATCATGACTGTTTTCATAGAAAAATTCACTAACTCTCCACAACTTGGACATTTTTTATCCAGTTAAAAAATCAAAGACTCTACAACCAAGTTAATATGGCAAGGATCAATTAATATTAAAGGTAAATAATCTCTATTATGTTATCTTACATAAGGGAAACTGCTAAAGCAAATTTCCTTAATAAAATGGCAACAAGTATAAACTTCGACTTGTATAGATTAGTTCAACATCAATTGAGATTTTGTTTTAGAGATTAGACAGAAGTATACGTAGGACGTTTAACGCAACAGTCTTATGTTTGTCATCTTGTAGATGACGAATGGTTGATCCTTAAAGAACTTAGATAGTTTTGCCACATATATGCGTATCTATTAACTTAACTGCTCCTGAGGAGACACTTATGTCTGACATATTACTAGACAGCTCAGCGAACGCGTTACTGAACCTACCCGAGAGCTATTTGATGAAAGACAGACAAAAACCACCCCGAACCGCGTATTGTCAAATTTAGTTGATACTGGTTATTTAGTTTGAAAATTGAAAGCATTCATTGCATCCCACCGAATCGTTCCAATGGATTCTGTATTTATCTACTGCATATATTTGAGGTGAACCCTCAGCCAATGCGACTAAAATCATTGCAACGATGAATCGTATAATTTATCTACACAATTTCATTATCCTATTGGAAACACCATGATTGGCTTCTATTTAATATTTATTTGTAAAGTTATCTACATTGGAGTAAAGCCTTATGAGTTCTTATTGAAAACAAAATACTGTTCGTTTACATTTGCCGTTCATCATTATTTATGAAAGATTTGAGTTTGCACAAATCCTGTGCCTAAATTGATCTGCGAAAAAAAGTTTGCCATAGCGCGTGATCACGAAGCATAACTGCATGTTATATTTGCCAACATTTTGTCTAACGTTCGACTGATATTAATCTTTAGCCTTAAATAATAATAATTTGTTTCTCTTCACGCACCCATGGTGTCTTTTGTGTTTCGTATGCTTTCTAAAGACTGAACTCTCACTAGTTATTAACTCTTTAAGCTTATCGATGAATTAAGTATTCTCCGAAGGCAGTTAAATCGTTTATGCTGGTCATTTTTAGAGTCGTATCACTCACAGTCTGTTAGGTAGCATATTAGTTTTATGATGATCACAAAAAACAACTTTAATATACAGGTATTATGCGCATATAAATATATATATAAGATTTTTCATATATTTCTAATAAATCTAGTAATCATTCCATAACAGTGTTAGTGGATAATAGATTAAACTAGTAAGTGAGTCTTATCCTATGACACTTGAATTTTGTTAAACATATCCAACGATCAACTTAAAAATACTAGGACGATCATAGGACAAAGACTTTGAAATAAGGCAAATTCAATTAAAACTAATTAAATACCTAATGGGAATTCATGACCAGTAGGATACAACAGGTCGGGCGTGAGGACAAATACTCACTGAAGACATTGGCTAATGGCCGGGCTATATCGTGAACTGGCAGAAGTTGGAATTCATGCACTGGCCCCTGGATTGCGTCCCCGGGGCCTTAATGGTCAACGAGGTCGCCTTGTAACCAGAAGGTCCTGCATTCAAATCCCCTGTGAGGAGCGAGTATTGATGAAGAGTCTCGAGCTCCAGGAAGAAACCGCTGTCCAGTAGTCCTAGGTTTTCCAGTAGTTCTCTCACCGATGTCAGCTCATAATGAAATCACGTAACCAGTTAAATATCTGTTGGTTGCGTATTGTGTACATCAGAAATGTCAGATAAATAAACTCAGTTAACAGAGTGGTTACAACAAATAATTTCTAAAACACATGGAAAATTTAAAGCATAGAAAATCACATTTCCTCACTAACGCATGTATTATCTGATCGCTTTCTGTTCAGTTACCTCGGAACGCATACCAACCGCCTAGGTATCATTCATTTTACTGTCTTTCAAGATATAAACTTTGTTCACATCATTCGTGGGATTTCTGACAGCACTTATCAACTTTGCAAGATATTCTGCTGATTATAGTCTTACCTAAGACTAATTTTACAATTAGATTAGTCATCCAGGGCATTTTTATATGATACCTACGTAAGCGTAAAATGAAACATCAGCAAAACGTGAAAATGCTTTACAAAAGCCCAGTCATTTCAGACAGACTCGAAAATCTAGTGTATCACTTCAAAATAATTACATAAATTGTTTCAGTTAGCTTTAGCTACCACCAGTTTATAAAGACGCCCGCTTTTTGTTGTGAATAATTCACTGAATGATATTCTTCGTTCGCCTACCTATCTGATAGAATGCGAAGCGAAATTTGCATATAAAATGGACGCTCAGAGTCTAATAAGATTACATTCGCCAATGTCTTGCATGAGTGCAAGTGTCTGTTCACCACTACATTGGCCGGCTAGTTTTTCAAAACCGAATTCGCCCTACCGACAGCTTCTAGCACCCTTTTCAGTGTGACAGTCTTTATTAAAAAGAATTGGTAGAATACAAGAGTTAACAAATTGTGAATGTAGAGACTGAGTGATACCAGATTGTTTAAATTTCGTTATGTAGAATGTTAGACGAAATATGTTTATGGAAATCAACATGATGTGGGAAGATCAGGTAAGATCAGAGGCAAGACCTAATGCAAGTTATTGGAAATTCAACTTATTTTCAACTTCACTGTCTGCTGTGATACAAGAATCTTGGGAACGAATTAATCCATATAAATCACGTTTTTGTTTGAAAATGAAATTGACAGTCTAACATTTGGAGTGATTTAGCTTGAGACCATTGGATAAGGATTATAGACTAAATTCTGGTAAAACAACGTGACCGAGAATTAACAGGTATGGAAACAGTCAGATCATCAGCATACTTAACACAATCTGTTTCATCAGAATGTGACAATTCATGTAAGAAGAAAAAAGTCAAAAAGGAGAAAGAACAGAACTTTGGAGGATATCAGCAGTAAGCCCGGCAAAAAGGAGAAGTCAGGCGTAGAATCTCAAGCTTCAATCCCTGTCAGCCGCTCAGAACACAAATTAGTGAAATGAAACCTTCAAGAGAACAGTATATTAAAACAATTACCACTAGCCTACCAAAAAACATTTTACCAGTAATTTTTTATATTCACGTTTACTTTCTAGACCAACTAACATGTAAAAGACGAGCACCAGACACTATAAATTCATGTAGAGGTGAACATTTGATGCAAACTACACACAAGAGAGCTAACAGTCCTGAGTCTGATTACATTCACTCACCATTTCTCGCGAAGATATGTAATTCGTTCCCATATATCACTTAATATTCAACAGTTAGCAATTCATCTTGAATCGTGTGCAAAAGTTACTTTTTTCATCATCCACCTTTTTCACTTAGCAGCTTTGAATACAGAGTAAGATATATGTGCATAAAAACTGTAAAATAACCAAAATCTTCACAGTTGAACAATATGAAGTAAAGCAAATATATTCTGTAGTTTGTAAAAATTGATTTGAATATATACACACACACACACAAAGTCTACCTCGAATATATTAAGACTGATATATTTATACTTTGTTTTTTTTTATGAATTAAACATAAAACTTATAACAAATTGTTTATTGGCGGGTTTGTAAGTTTTTGACAGCTGCACTGAAATTGCCTTACAATTATAAATAAACTTTTCCATCTAGTTGTGCTTATTTTGTCTTGTTTCTTCTTCGTCTACCAACTGGATATCAGTGGTTCAGTCTGATAAAACAGTAAACGAATGATAGGTCCATTCGCAATATGCTTTTCGTCGTAAGCTAAAAACATAAATAAGTGATGACGCTGTTAAAAAAACCGCTGATTTGGCTAGTCATTGGTATTATCTGGCCTAAGTTCTGATCAAGATTAATATGAGAAATGCATTCTCTCGGTTGCGTCAGACAGTAGGAAGCGAGAAGACAGAGATATCCTGGACCAACGTGAAGAACCTAGAAGACCTGGATTTCGCGCGCGGATGATTTATGTTTGATGTCACACAAAATCGAAGACTTACAAGCGAAAACCGACAAACTGGTCGAAGAGGCAGCAAAGACAGGACTCCAGGTGAACATAGACAAGACGGAGGTTATGAAAATGACCAACCAACAACAACAGCAGCAGCAACATCCTGCGCCAATCACCATCAATGGGAGGGATTTGAAAGAGGTCACTTCATTCACTTATCTAGGGAGCATTGTCTCAACTACAGGAGGAACAGATGAGGATGTCAAATTGAGAATCGGGAAGGCGAGAAATACATTCATCAACGTGAAACCAATCTGGAAATCTTCGTCACTCAGCATCAACAACAAAATTCGGATTTTCAATACAAACGTCAAGTCAGTCACTTCTTCTATACGGATCAGAAACTTGGCGGGTCACAAAGAATATTTCCAACAGGTTGCGGACCTTTGTCAACAACTGTCTTCGCTCTATACTGAAGATTAGATGGCTGGAAAGAATCACCAACAAGAAACTATGGGAACAAACAAAGCAAGAACCAATCGCTCAACAAATATGCAGGAGAAAGTGGAGATGGATTGGGCACTCGCTGAGGAGGCATCGCGCGTCAGGCCAGTGCTCGAGTGGAACCCGAAAGGGAAGCGGCGAGTGGGACGTCCAGGGGTGACATGGCGGAGATCGTGTGAAGAGGAGCTGAAACAGTATGGAATAAGATGGATGCAAGTGAAAAGTACAGCAGAAGACAGAAACAAGTGGAGATGTGCAGTTGAAGCCCTATGTTCCACTAGGAACCCAAGAGAACAATAATAATAATTCTCTCGGTTGTTCAATTAAATGATTGTAGTAGGCTATGCAGCAAAATAGGCCTTCCATAAATATTTTATGCATAATATAGGTTTTCACATACTTTTTACAAGTAATTTCCTGAATATATACAATATGCAGGTTATTTTTCGCCGTACGGATGTGAATCCTATTTCATTCTGTTTGACCGTGCAGTTACGAAAATTGTTCAAATGGTGACTAAGTTATAAGAAAAAGTGAGGAAAATTCAACGAACGCACAAACTTTTTCCCTGTCGACGAAATTATCATCAAATGCTGTACAATTGTATTTATATTTATTAAACGTGTAGCAGTATATTACTAAGTAATGGGTAATGGTGACATATTTGATGCCGTTATTCAGAAGTGGTTCCCACGGCTAGACAAAAACTAAATAATAACCTTCAACACTTTAGAAGTAAGCGCTTGAAATTTGATAAGCTGAGAAGCAGTCGGGTTGAGTATCCACTTGACAAGGTAAGAAAGAAAACAGAAGTGTTAATGAAATGCTCAAAAAGGATATGAAAGAATTATATTAGCGAATTATTTACTAAAAATAGAAACGCGAAAGCCAAGAGTCGTTTAAGACCACGGAAGGAAGAGAGAATGAACAGACCTTTTCTACTCAAAGAGTTCAGTAAATGAATAATGCCTTTGGCACACAGGATTATCGAAAAGTAACACTCAAAGTATCCATCAGCCTAACTGTGTGAGGTAGCTCCGTAGCTTGAGTTCACCAGATGCTTGAGAATACAGCTAATAATTGACATGCACTGCTTTCTTCTCAAGATTGACCGACAGCATTATGAAATACGTTTTGAATGTGTACACTCTGTGCAGCCAATATAACTATCTTTACAGGCGCATGTGAATTTACAAATCTATATTAAAGTGACCAAAAGGTTCATGTTGTTCTTCGCACATTCGGTGATCTTTAGCTAATTTTAAACACTGACAAATAACAGTGAAGGGAAATTAAACGATCATTTGGGCATCTAAATTGTTTAAGATGTTTAAGAGATCACAAAACTCAACTGAAAATGAAATTACTGGGTTGTAAAGCTCAGTTTTCAGTCATTTAAACATATCGCATGTATATATATTATTATATTATTTTTCCTTTGCGTTCCGAGTGGGACATAGGGCTTCAACAACACATCTCCACTTTTTTCTGTTTTCTATCATCCTCTTCAGCTGGGTCCACAATTGACCAAACTCTCCCATCTCTTCTTCACACGATCTCCTACATCTCACCCTAGGACGACCCACTTGTTGCTTCCCATTTGGATTCCACTCGAGAGCCTGGCGTGATATGTAATTCGGCGGCCTCCTCAATGTATGTCCGATCCACCTCCACTTTCTCCTACATAATTGTTGCACAATCGGCTCTTGGTTAACTCATTCCCAAAGTTTCTTGTTACTTATTATTTCTGGCCATTTGGTCTTGAGTACGGAGTGAAGGCAGCTGTTGATGAGAGTCTGAAAACTGTTGGAAATCCTTCCCGTGACACGCTGGCTAAGTTTATGACCCGTATAGAGGAACCGACTTCACATTGGTGTTGAAAATGCGAATCTTGTTCCTTATATACATCGCATGTATATAAGGTTATGTTAACAATTTAAGCCCAAAAACCATCCACTTACAGTTACATTTTGTTTTTATATTTTATCTTACCATATATGAATTCTATTAACCACATTATCCTTTATTACACCTCGAAATACTTTTTCAGGAATCAGGTATTGTACAGTTGAACTACAATATGGGTGGAGGCGTAGTTCACATCAGTGGTCCGAATTTCCCTATTGATGATGGATTCTATCATCGAATCCGGGGCTATCGAGTAGATCATAAGATAATTCTTGAAGTGGATGATACTAGGCATACGTATGAATTAAACAGTAAGTTTAACTGATATAATCGCTGAAATAACTTGGTCTTACATTATTATTAGCACGTCAGCCGTTAAAGAAACAACCAGTGACTACAGGGAATATTAATGAACTTGTTTTTTTAAATGTGATCTGAAGTTATAACCGATAACAAATTAGATGCTTTAATTTATTTATGTTCAGTAACCTACAGATCTGATTATAGTATGTATGGACTGGAATTGGTTATAACTATCGTCCAAGTATGTTCCATGTCACTTAATGTTCACTAGTTTTCGTGTTGTTCGGAAGAAGCAATACTGCGATTTGCCTTTCAACTTGACACCACAGTGGTAGAATTAGTTATCCCATATGAGAGTAGAAGCAGAAAGCAATTGCTTTGAGGTTTCAGAACAGTATTTCGATGAATGCACCAAATGAGGATTAGTATTTGATTGTTCTGCTGATTTTCAGCAACCTTGCTCCTTCTTTTGTACAAATAAAAGCATTAAATGGTTTTCATCTCAAACACATAAACACACACACATCCCAGACAAATTAATCGAATAATTACTTTTGACAGTGTTATGTTTTTAAGCTGTATTGTTTAATTGTGAAACTATGATTATTATTTTAAAGAACACTTTCACTCCTTACTTTAAGATAAAGTAAGTCTGTATGAATTCTCTAGTGATCGTAATCCATCACTCCAACATCAAGTAACTTTGATTTCAAACAAATTGATTTAGGTATCATTAAACTTGATAAACATTTGTTCACAACCGATCGTATGTTCTGTATTATGATATGCACTAATCCCACTACTCCAGGTGTGTTATGAGGACAGATTTAAAGAGCTTGGATAAAAAGAAAATGTGATTTTTCGATGAAGATCTGTTCCTTTTAATCTTAAACGTTTTTCCAACTTATAAGTTGATATTCTTGAACTACGCAAATGAGTTGCTTGGTAGAATTACTCCACTCACAAAATAAATACGCTACCTGATATATGTAAATATATATATGTATTTGTAGGTGCATATGGAAAACAGTTTAATAATCAAAGAATGATTTGGCTTGGACATGCACCTGAGTTAAATAAAAGCGACTTTTTCCGGGGTTACATGTCAGGTAAGTACTGTACTATTCAGAATGTAACGTAACTTCAGAGTGTAGTGAATCTTCTGTTTTATTCTGTAATCTTCACTTGAAGTTACACCTACTATGAGTATTTCTGAAAACATTTTATTTATAATTTATATGGTATCAGGACTGATCGCTAGCTGACATCAGTTAGAGAACAAATAGGAAACTGTTCAGTCCTAGACAACTGTCGCATCCTAGTTTGAGACCCTTCACCCCTACACACCTTTGGGGTTTGGACACAAGAACTTCCGGTCACAAGGCGATCTCGTGGACCATTCAGCCACTTGGATCCAATATAATTGACTTATGAATTCCAACTTCTGCTAATACGCGAGAAACCACCAGTCAGTATCATAAGAAGGCAGCTGTCCTCTTACATGACTTGATGGCCCCCGAAGATCATGCCTTCTCACCAGAATTCCTGGTAACTTCCTGTAAACAACCAGTCGCTATTGAGCATCAGACTAGTTTTCAAGTGTTGGTTTGCAAGGATTTGACTGGTTACAGGCTTAACATACAGCTGACATCAAATTTCCATGAACCAAAAGTTGAATTTGTATTACAATTTAAAAACTGATGAAAACAGTGTTATCTTTAAGATTGTATTACATTTGTTTCGTTATTGATTTGATTTTTTCATACTTCAGGCTACTAAGATATTGCTTCGTTAAATTCCTGGACACATAACAGTTTTTTATTGACCTGTGAAGCTACTTTTGTCTGTATTAACTTTATAAGCAACTTCTTCGACCTACAACTCGTCCGGAAAACCAAAAGCAACTACACAACTTCTAGTGGACACCCACTCCACTATTGCGAATAGTTCGGAAGCAGAGAAAAGTGCCCACTAATTAGAAGGAAGGCTACCTTGTCAAATTACCAAAGAAGGAAGACGTACGCCTCTGCAAGAACAAGCAAGGAATAATACTCTCACTCACACCAGACAACATATTGAGTCATGTCTTCACGGAGAGAATAAGAAGAGATGCACTAGATGCTGAACTCCACCCACCACAACAAGCTGGATTCAGGAAAGGAAAATCATGTGGTGGTCAAATTGCAACTCTACGCATCGTCATCGAACAAAGCATAGAATGGCAGTCAAATCTCTACATCAATTTCATCAACTTCATAAAGAGCTTCGACAGACAGCGTTCACTGAGAAGTAATTTGTAAACTACTTAAATACTAAGTCTTGCAGTGCTCAAACCTTTATCAACGTCTTTCAAGACCTATATAACGATGCCATATGTTGGGTGGAAAGGAAAACTCAGCGAGGCGTTCGAAAAGAATACAGGAGTAAGACAAGCTGGCTGCCTATTATCACCGATGATATTCCTAATTGTGGTGGACTTGAATACGTGGCATACCGTACGTGAGGAGCGAGAAAACAGGAGTACAGTGCACCAATTTTGCGGGTGATTTATATCTAAAGTCACAAAACTTCGAAGGCATGCAGGCGAAAACCAACAAGTTGACGGAAGCGATAGACAGCGAAGACAAGGCTCCAGGTGAACATATAGACGACGTAGGTGATGAAGATGATCAACAGAAGCAGCAAGTACCAGTCACTGCCACTGGGAGAAATTTTAAAGTGGTCACTTCCTTCACTAAGCTAGGCAGAACCGTTTCAACTACAGGTGGACATCACCTATGAGGATGTCAAAACTGGAACCTCATGGCAAGACAGATATTAATCACTCTGAAAACAGAATGAAAATCTTCTACACTCAGCAAAAATAGAAAGTTTCTAATTTTCGATATCAATGTCAAATCAGTTCCATTTGGGCCAGAAACTTGACACATGCATCACGGAAAGCATTTCCAACGGGCTACTGTAGACTTTTATCAACATCTGCTCCCTTCTCTGGCTCCATATTGAAGATCCGATTACCAACGAGAAAGAATTAGCAACAGAAAACTCTGGGAACGAACCAACCAAGAACCTATTGCTCAACCAATTTACGTTGATAATGGAGATGTATCGAAAACACATTGAGGAGGCCGTTGAGTGACATCGGGCATCAGGCAAGAGCTCGAGTGAAATCCAAATTAAAAACGACGAGTTGTTCGTCCGAGATTTACACGGAAGAAATCGTGTGAGAAGCTAATTCATACATTATAAAATCAACAGGATGTATCCGCACGTGGAATACTACTGTATTCCTTTTTATTCTTAAAGAAAGTAATCAACAGATACACTCTGACTAAAAGCTTTGATTTTCGAGGTATCTAAATTCTCATATGCCCAATTATTCACAGTTGTTGGTGACAAATATATATGCACATGTCTACTGTACATTTAAAAGCAAAATGGTTTAACTTAATGCCTAAAACTAATAATGCCAGTACAATATATGGCACTATTAAAATACACAAACCAAGGTACCCCATACAACCAATAGTGGATTTTAGGAATACTCCTACTTATGAATTATAAAACACTTAGCTCTAATATTATGTCCCATTAGAAATCGCTTAAACTCTAGACTAGCTAATTCATTTGAGATGAAAAATAAACTAAATGACATTCTCAAGTATTGGTTTGGTAGGGATTTTGTTTAATTGTATGGAGGATTTCATCATGAGCTGACATCAGTTAGAGAACCACTGGAAAACCTGGGAGTACCGGACAGCTGTTTTGTCCTAGTTTTGGGACTCTTCAGCAGTACGGGCCCATCGGGATTCGAACCCAGGACCTTCTGGTTACAAGGCGAGCTCGTAGACCATTGAGCCACTGGGACCCGACATTCAACTAGAGAATGATGAAAAAATGGTTAGTTTTGATATAACCAGTCGTTATACTAACATACCAATCAATATGGCCTTAGAAGCAGTTAAAAAAGAATTAACTGCAGACCCTGAACTCAATTATAGGACGAAACTAGCCATTGAAGAAATTATTTTAGGAATTCAGTTGTGCCTTACATTTACTATCTTTAAATTCCAAGGCAAAATATATAGACAAACTGAAGGTGTAGCAATGGAATCACCAATATCCCCTATCGTAGCAGATATATTTATGGATAGCTGGCTCTTAATACATTTAATCCTACTCCAAAAATATGGTGGAGATATGTGGATGACACTTTCACAGTGTTAAAAACAGAACATATCTCTAGCTTCTTGACACATATTAACTCACTAGCAGAGGGGATAAAATTCACATTTGAATCGGAAGATGAACAAGGAGAGTTGGCTATGCTAGATTGTAAAATAAAACGAATAGAAGAAGGTAAACTTCACACTAGTGTGTATAGAAAACCAACGCATTCTGCTGATAGATATTCAGACTTTAATTCATCTCATCCTTTAACTGTTAAGGCAGGCTTAGTTAAGTGTTTAACAAACCGAGCAATGGCACTAAGTAGTACAAAAAAAGACCTAAATGATGAAATAAAACAGATAGAAGAGGCGTTGGTGTTAAATAACTATCCCTTAAAATTCATTAAGAAGATTGATAAAGGCCAAAAGTAAAATAAAAAGAATTGTGAAACTAGTAATAATAATATAAATAAGAGAGAGTATAAGTCATCTACAGTTATACCATATAAAGAGGGGACATCTGAGACCCTACGTAGGATTCTAAATAAAGCAGGAAATAGAGTGGCATTTAAACCTACAAACTCACTCAGGGACAAGCTCTGTAGGTTAAAGGACTCAGTTGACCCAATTAGACAAAATAATATAATTTACAAAATACCCTGCAATGACTGTGAGGTCAACTACATAGGTCAAACTAGTAGGTCAGGGGTAGTCAGATTGTCAGAACATAAGAATTTAGATAAGGGTAGAATGGTTGACCCAGAGAAGATAAGTAATTTAGAGAAAAGCTCACCAATTGCAATGCATGCATTAGCACACAACCACACAATAGGGTGGGAGAGGGTTAAAATTCTAAAAAGTAATCTAGGTAGGTGGAGAGAGAGGTTGATTACTGAATCTTTGTTCATCGAATCTACACCCAACACATGCAATAGGAATGAATCATCACTCATACCCGAGATATGGAAAATAACACTACCAATCAAATCAAGTGAAAAAACAAGGGAACTATATAAATGAATTTAGGAAGTCGTGTGATTAACTTGATATGATTATGAGCAATAAATTGTGCTCGAAACATCATCAGTAAATATTACTGTATAACACTGTGACACTTTATCAAAACAAAATTTACCCATAAAGGAATTACACTCTACCACAGTGCACAAGTTTTCTACTTATATTTAAAAGCAGGAAAAAATAGGGTATAGTTGAGTTTTTGTACTTGATTATGCGAGCACATAATCTTTAATAGTGACTTCTAGTCCTCTCTGATTACATGCAAGGGGAATGTTCAGGACAGAAGAGGTGTTAAGCGTGAGACAATATAAATTTAAACCCTTTCTAGCATGAGTTCAGGTGTCTATCGACTGCAATATTAAAGAGCTGCCTAAATGGCTCACCACTTGCTCTACTGACAACGCTTAATATTCTCCACACTATGACAGAATTTTTTTGAGTAAACCCGGAAAGACTAAGGGGAAGCAGTTAAGTATAGTAGGTAAGATGCAAAAGTTAACAAACTGTAGAAGCAGAGGTTGAGTGATTCTAGATTGTCTTAACATCTTAATGCAGAAGGTCAGAAGAAAAATTTTCTTAGAAGTCAAAAAGATATGGGACGACCTAGGAGGGTTCAAAAATAGAATTATTCCAGGGTATTTAATGTCTGATTTAGTTTCTATTTCAGTACCCTCTATGAAACAGGCATCATGTGAAGGAACCAGTTCTCATAAATCAAGTCTATGCTTGAAAATGAATTCAACTGTCTAAAATTTGGAAGGATTTAATGCACGATCATTTAGCGTAGACAACTGGTTGCTGTCCGACAAAAACCCATTCAATTTTTAACAGTCATATCAGGCGATAACTGGCCACGAGACAATCAGATAAAATAAAGTGGAAATTTAAATGCCTACAAAAATGATAACAGCATGAAGGCTTTATGTAGATGCGCGAAATCAGACTGCATGTATAATTTTTCTTTATTGGCATCAAGTCAGTCTGATTAACTGCCTTGTTATTTCAAACTTAATATATTAATAGTTGGATTCGGCAAATATAAATCAACAAAACTTTGTAGAACAACCAAGCAATAAAAACCTATTATTCCTTATCTACTTCAAAGGTTAATTCAGCATCAAAGTGCATAAATAATACGATAGAAGTATGTAATTAAAATCTCTCCTTCTGGTAAAATGTGCTCACGTGATGCACAGATGATAAAAAGACGTTGTTTATATAGTGTAGAAAGAATCATAAAACTAACGCAGTGAAAACAAAACTACATTTGATTGGCATGTTAATTTTATGAGCCCAGGGATAAAACGTGGTTACAGGTAATTTTATGCGAGTCTGCGATTGCCTCATAATTTAATAATGATAACAACAGCTTTATTCTAGACAGTTTTTATATAATGTTCAGAATTTTCAGCCGAGTTTAATACATAATATTTTCACCTCGTACAGAATGTACATATGAAATACTAACTGACAGAATACTGTGTGACCTGAAGCGCAAACAAATCCAAATATTTCTTCTTTTCACCTTACAAAAATGTTGGACATTTGGTTAAAAGCCAATTGTTAAAAGCTCAGAACTGCCTACTGAGACCAAAGTACATAACTTAGGAAAAGTTTTCTCATGTATTGGGATACGTTGGCTCATCACGATCAGGATTTTTTTCTCAATTTTATTAGAAACTTGCTGATCAGCAGAGGGTAAACACTTTAAATTCTCGCTAGAGTAGATAATTCCATTGGAGGTCATATTTTAATTGCTTAAAACAAAGTGAACAGGCTAAAAATTATATGCAGCATTGTGATGAAGGCTTTTGATAGCTCAGGTTTTAAGCAGGCCACCAGTAGAGTATTAAATTGATCTTTTGCTTTTTCGTCAATATTCCGATTGTTAAAATTTAAATGAGACATATAAGCGAATAGTACTGTTTTCAATTAGTCCTTCTTCTGGGTTCAGCATAATGTGAATAGGTTTATGTATAAAAAATTTTAACTATCGACGGTGATGTTGTGGATCAAACAAATAAGTATTAAATGTTGCAAATATTTCAGTAATAACAACGATTATAATAAGAGTGATGATGATGATACTAAGGTCAATGATAACAAAAGTACATGAAGTTGACGCAGGTGATGATAGAAATAATGAAGGTAGTGTGATAATGTAAACAATTCAATGATTAAATCAGACCGAAGTCTTACAAAATTAAAAGTTACGCAACACTAAAGATGAATTGGATAGATAATGGGAGTGTCTATACGAATATCATAAAAGTAAGAAAGTAGTGAAGAATAAGAAAGGGTGAAATAGTTCACTATATCTACCTACGCTAAAGGAGAGACAAAAAGTAGGAAAAACTTCTTTTGTATGCAAAGACTAGGATTGCTCTCTTTAATTCCGGTAGCTTCCTCTATTTAAGAGATGAGTTCGAATTCCTCTTGAAAGGCTCTATGGAATGCAACAGATAAACATGAAGACGCTTCTTCTGCCCACTTCGCTAATACTGTCAATCAAATGAGACAAAATAGGGCTTCCTAAAGATTTTGTTTGGTGCTTTCCGAACCATGAAGGAAAGTGACATATTTGTTAAGTTGCCTATTTTGATCGCCTTTTACAGTTTCAGGCACAGAATCAGCCAAGTTTGTAAATGCAACCATAACTGGTTGGTTGGAAAATGATGAAAAGGGATGATATCAGCACAAGTCCTTTTTATGACTGTAGATAATCGCAGATGTAGAACTTCACTAGCCACGTCTTCATTGAACTGGAGCTTCAGGAACAACTCGCTATTCTTATTTGTGGTCGGCCTCTCTTTATTGTACACAGTGCTCGCGTGCCTCCTCATAAATCTAGTCGTATAACCCGTTTATTATCGTTGACCTTATTATCATGATTACCAATCTTATCATAATCGTCGTTAGTGCTGACATATTTGCAACATTTAACACTTATTTTTCGATCCACAACTTCACCATCACTAGTTAAAATTTTTTATATACAAAGCTACTCACTTTAGGTTGGATCCAGAAGTAGGACTGGCTGAAAATAGTACTTTTCGCTTATGTCCTATTGTATTTTTCATCAACAGTCAAATGCCTTTAAGGGATGTTAAAGTAGCAAAGTGGATGAAAACGTTACATTAATACGATGTCTGAATCTCTACCAATCACATTTATATAATAATGCTTCAGGCATTTCAATACCTCATGCAGGTTAGCGTAAGAATAGAATCAGGAAAATCCAAAAGTCAGACATACTATATTCCTTGGTGTATCGGTTAGATTTTGAAGAAAACTAAGAAGAATATAGCAAAATTTGAAGACGATGACATCAACAGAGAAGCTAAAAGCTCATTTATAATTGAAACTTTATAAGAGAAAATCAGCTAAGTAACATAAACTTTACCTCATGAGAAACCTGTAGTAATAAATGACTTCAATAGAGATATTTCCTATGCCTCATTACACATCCATTTCAGAATAGTATCTGTATTCTTGCTCCCAATAATTCTCAGTGATGTGCATAATAAGTTAATTAGGATGACCTGAAAAGTAATACCTTCATAGTTTTTAATCCTTTTTTCCCCCTGTTATATCTTTTGCTCAAGGGGTTTATTACAATGGTCTAATGCTGAATGATTTAGCCGCTGGTATGTCATATCTACCGTATATTCATGTAACAAGATTTCCCAATGTCAAATATGTAACGAAATTTCAACCTAATTTGGATAATTCAAATATTTTCAAATAGTAAGTTCATATTCTTGAAATGAACAAATTTGATGCCATCATATTTGTAAAGAATTGTGTAACACATCCCATGTTTTTTAATTAATGAATTTTAGTAGCCGCGGGATATGAATTCCCCTTTTTAAATTATTACAGACTACATCCGGTGAAATTTCGAAACGTTTCAGTGTAATCAAAAATTGTCTTTTAGGAAACCAGCTATATTCTACATATCATACAAAAATGCCTTGTCATGGAAGATGGGAGCTATAGTCTTCAGAATAAATAACTATGGATGTATAGCAAACTGTCAGTAGACATCTTAATGCCATGAGTGACACTAACCTACACTGAAGGTGTAGCATGAACGTCCATCATATAATTCCCAAATCTAACCTACAGTTTCCAGAAATGTGTATCAATTAAGGAATGAACTTTCATTAAGGCGAAGATGCTTTCCTTGGGTAAATACGCTTTTGATCGATGTCTGTATTGCTGTAAATTATTTAAGCCATGTATAAATATGTATATACTTAAGTGATTGGAGTTTGTATTTGTTCCATAGTTTCCTGTTGATGCCATTCAGCAAACCTTTATGCAAAACTTTGATGGCATTATGCCTTTACTACACCTGTTTTTAGTAAATCTGAACTAATATTAACATCAGGAACTGATATTGGTACAGAACATTTAAATATTGTGAACCGAACAGACGATTCAAATCGTCGCGTTACAGCCGAAATAACTATTTCTAAATACCTGCAGCGCTTTTAACATCCATGTCATGAATTATTAGGTGAAAAAACACAGAGCTAATTTCGTTACTCCTAAAATTCAAATGCGGTACTAGGAATTCTTTAGGAAGTTGTCCGATGTATATCGCATCACATTCCAAGAATTTTACTTGCAGACACAATTAGATTGCTTTGTAGAGTATCTAATGTTTTGAATAAAACTCTGATGTTGTGCTTACTGATTACTCTTCTGATATCGTCTGACGTTTCCGATCTATGTGGATTGATAACTGTTGAGGCCCACCTCTTTACGAAGTTTTTACATTTCAGTAACCAGAATGCCGTTGTGTTTTTCGGCTAACTTGAAATAAAACTATTTTGAACGTTGTACACTTTGGAATCATAAAAATATTCTATAAACCAAAAGTTGAAACCAGTCCTTTTTTGCATTATAGATGGTCATTTTGAAATACACATACACTGTTTTTCTTCTTGGCTTTTAGTTCTTCACTTTCATCTAGACGAATCTATGGTGATTCAGTTTCCGTTGGTCTTCCGGCTGATAGGAAAATACAGAATGCGAGCCATGATGAACCAATCTTTGATGGCATAAATATAGACAATCACGGGAAGTCATTTTCATCCTGGCAGAAACCTATATATTCTCATTCATTACAATTATCGGATAGTGTACATATTACTAATGATGAGTCATTTAACCCTCAGGATTCTAATCATAATTCACTTCAAAGATGGCAAATAAACGAAACATCTACTGGAATGAGTGAACAAATTAACATGTGGTTATTATTTACTTTAATCAGTGCTTCATTACTAATAATAATCATCTTAATTACCATTGTAGTCTATAAATTTAATCACAGCAAAACTACAAATTCACGTTCCAAACCACTGTCAGAATACCAACCGAATAGTGAGCAAATTCGTCTTTCTCATAGCTCAATAACTAAAAGAGCACCTTCCATAAGTTCAATATTAAGTGTAGATAATCACAACTTTTAGAAATATAAATCAGCACTTAAAACTGTCGTGTTACCAACTACACAATCCGTCTCATTCATTTAGTGGACGAACACCAAATGATGAAAGAAACTCTAAATTTTCGAACACTGTGCCCACTTCATTTATCCTCGTCACTGAACCAGTGACAACAATAACAGAAAGAAGTGGTTACACTCTATGCAGAAATCCTGTAATTGTCACGAATGCATTTCATATTAACACTTGTGGAACTTCATTTCAAGATCCAGTACAGTACAAAACAGTAACAAAAGCAAACGAAAAGGAATACAATTTCCGTTTGAACGATTCACCATTATTTAAAAAGTTTTCTGAAATGAACGACTCTGTTGGAAACACTATGACTGAAAACTTTGTCTTCTTGGAAAGTGATCACATGATGACAGCATATCCCACCGAAACTAAATAATTATGCGTTTTCTACTTATCACCTTCAAGAAAATTCTCAGTATTTCGGAAACCAAAACTAATTTACACATGCATACACACATACATCTAAAAGCATTCCTGCTTGTAGTGGATTTAAAGCATCCAACAAACTGCAGGTTTACATTATTTTTATTTATTTTCAAGAACTAATACTGAAATCGTAAAACATTTATCGTAGACTTCACTACTGGGGGGTTTCTTACACTTTATCTGTCTCACTTGTATACTTGAAGCCGGATGGATGTATATACTTTAGTCACTTTGACATATTCTTTTTATTTGTTCACAAAGTGCTGTTATTTTCTAAAATGTTGCTCCAGATAATAACCTGACTATTTTATTTACAGTTTTGTTCTTGTCTACTGTTATGTCAAAATGTGACTGTCAATCAGATAAATGCAGACGAATTTCTGTGTGGTAATAAATAGTAAACAATTGTCTGCATCTTAGCAACGCAAAGGATTTGTATACTACTGATGTAATAAGCAGTCGAAGACTCCTAGTTTTTTAAAAAATGTAAAGGTTCTAATTTAAAATTATAAAATACCCCTCAATAAAGAATGGAAAAATGTTCATTATTCTTACTTCTTGCTAAAGATAATCTTGATTGAAATAGTTATACATGTATTTCATGTAATAGGTAATACTGAAATTAATGTTCATAACACAGTTGTGTAACTACTATCTCGGAGTATCATGTTTGCTAACGTATTTGCTTTTGTCCTTACTGTCTAAGGGTTAGTAACATTACTATAAGATTATTGCTCCCATGGGATTCAAGTGGACATAGGAATCCAGCGGCATGTCTCATTTCACTCGCTTCCCTGCAGTCTATTTTACCTGGCTCAATGATTTTCAGAAGCCACTATTTCCTCTTTACACGGTGGTCCCCACGGCAACTCGGACCTGCATCTAGCTCATCGTTTCCCGGTCAGGTTCTACTCAAGGAATTGGTGCGTGATGTCACACAACGGTCTCCACAGAGTGTGTTCAGGTCATCTTCAATTCCTTCTGTATATATGTGGAGCGACAGTTTCATGCCCAGTTTACTGCTACTGCATTTTCAGAAGACCTTGATGATTATTCTTTCTGAACAGCCATTTGATCTTCACTATGGATCAAAGGCACTTGCCAATGAAAGTCTACAACCTGCTTGAAACTTAGGCTACCGAAATGCTCCATGGCAATATTGCATATAGTTCCTCTTGTTCGCTGTATTTTAATTTAGTAAAATGTGATCTCTAATGGTGTTTGTTAACCCTCGTGAGTATTTAAAGTGGCTACAGCTTGATGATTTGCAAGTTCCCAATAAGTTTGAGGAAGGGAAGTATGCCGAGTGTCAGCGTATTCTAATACATGAGATAATTGTTGTAAGAATAGAACTCGGGCACTATGTTAGAGTATAATTATATCACAGAGTAAATTCATTGGATAAAGTCTCACACTGTTATACAGCATTATTTACTGATGACATTTCGAACACGATTTATTGCTGCTCATAATCATATCAAGGATAAAAAAATGATGAAGATACTGTCAGGATAACATTACAATTTCTTAAAAAATATCAGAGGGAAGCAATTTGTATTCTACCCGAAGATTGGACTAAAAAAGTGGGAATAAGTATTCGGAAACTTGTGAAATTACTTTACCAAGTTTAAAAATTGTCAGTAAAAAACATTTGTCTGACAGTAGTGATCAGAATATTGAATGTCCTAGGGAATTGTGAAAAAAGCACCGTATGCTAATGTCTAAGGGCCTCTGTATGTGCATAGGACATGTTAGTACTAATTACATAATTTTGAAACTCTTATTTTCCCTTATCATACCTATTACCGATAGATTGCTGATTTTATCTACTTTGTGACGTAATGGCTGTGTTTTTGATTTTGACGACTCACTTTATCAACCTAGGGTTGTAATCAAACTGATCATTGGAAACAATCGATAATAATATGTGTGTCGATAGAAATAAAAACAGTGAGCTAATTTAGCAGGCCATATACCCAGATCACTAATGCAACACTAAAAATTACATCAGATAAACGTGGTGAAATAATTGGTTAGTACTATTTGATAACACTGAACATACGTATCTACACTGAGTGGAAATTTCAAAAATTATTTTCCGACATAATTATTTATTTTTTATTCAACGTTACCATTTCAGTGATATATCATGTACTTTCAGATGAGAAATGTTGATTTCTACATTGTTTTTTATTATTATTTTGAATCACTTACATTTTCCCAGATATTTTCGAAGATATCTGCTGTTTATAACTGTTGTTATTATTATTGTCTGATCATTGGATATTGCTAAAGGTAGAGCTGCATTAATCGACTAATATAACTACTCAGAGTATACAAGCTCTGTAATCGCATGGACAGCAAAATAAGGAGATTTGAAGGTTTTATCTGTTTAGAAAGTCTTAAGACTGAAACCTTTTAAGAGATAAAATAAATTTCTCCAAGACTTGATTTGCAAGGATTTGATCTATTTATACGAGTTTGACTGTGGATTGATATCAGTTAGAGGACCATTGAAAACCATCAGGGAGTACTGGAGAGCTGTGTCATCCTAGTTTGGGAATCATTGGCAGTACGTACCCACTCGGTTTCGAACCCAAAGCTTTCCAGTTACAAGGCAAGCTCGTGTAACATTCAACCACTGGGACCCGATTTAATGGCCAGCTCATGAATTCTAACTTCTACCGACTCGTCATTGTAGAGCGACTGGCACCAACCAATGTTATCGGCGGGAAATCCACGCCCACATGCCGACTGGTTGCACCTCATTGGTAAAGACTTCTCACTAGAACTCCAGAAGACTCAGTCACATTGAGGAGACCGCTGAGTGACATTGCACACGAGGCCACAGGTCGAGTGGAATCGGAATAGGAAACAATGGGTTGCACGTGAGTCCGACCGTGGTATGAGGGACATCGTCTGAAAGGAAGGGAAGAGCCTGTGGGCAGCCGTGGGACCAGCTGAAGAGGACTTCAGAGAACAGGATATGTCGATGAAGCCCCATGTTCCATTTGGAACACATTGAAATAATAATACTGCATCCAAATAACAGACCATTATTTCTGTATCACCAGCTTTCATTTATATTTTGTTTAAATTTATGTAGTATATACATTGATAGACAGAATTACCTGTTTATTCTCCTTTCCCAACATGCAACTACTTGTTTAGACTGGAATAATTTAATTCCCTGATTATTTTTGTTATCTTTTATTATCTAGCTTGATTTTTACCATTCGACTGGTAAGTTATTCACTGTTAAAATAATCCATATAACAGTCAAGAAGTGGGTGATGTGGCAGAAATTAGAAATTATATATTTCTTTTCCTTTTTTCTCTTTGTCTGCTTAACAAAGCACGGCGTACACAAATCACTAGGTTACTACGCGTCTACTCAACTAAATGTCTCACATTTTTGTGCTTCATTTTGCCATGATGGTTATGTGGTCAACTGGTAGGCCGACATTTCTGATTTCAGTTCTTAAAGCAGTTTATTCTTGGGCACTGGTATTAAGTTGTAAACTATGAGGGAAAACACTGGAGTGATTTTTCTCCTCGAGTAGCTTCTTAACGGATTACCATTAATAGTGACAAGTAGTCGAAGATTTAAACCTATATTAACGGTCAACACATTGATAATTTGACTTTGAGAGTACCCTTGGGTTATCACACTGTTATTGAGGTAGTGGGTGACAATTAAAATTGAAGTGGAAATCCGAGTTACGGCAGGTTTTGAACCATCCACCTATGAGTTGCTAGTCTGGAGCTCCACTAGATTAACTAACTAGCTCAATAGTTCTTTGCAGCTGGTATTTTTGTTGACTACCCCGACCTCATGAATCTCTAGTTGAATCAAGTAGCTAGGTATTTTTACTTCAAAATACAATAAGTAAATTGAGCAAAAGAGGTCTTATTCATGCATCAGATGTTTAGATCAAAACGAATGAAAGTATGGACCATAAAATTTGCCTGAAAAGATGTGAATTAGCATGGTAGAGGTTAGTAATAATAACCCTGTTTGTAACTTTCATCAAAGGCATGAAGGTAAATAGCAGTTCTGGAGTATCATAGATAATGACAACAAGTGTTTGAGGTTAATATCTGCTGGCAGAAAAACATACTGAATACAGAATTAAGCAAAGTATGTGGTAATAGTACTAATGGTTTGCTTTACTCCAAAAGAGTACTTGTGATGCAGCATGAAATTCTCGGCATTGGGTATAATATTGTATGTAATTTTCTCAACAGCGACCTCATATGCTATGGGTAAACAAAATTAATAATAGCTACGTTTTGGTATCAGCAGTCACAATGCAGTCAAAATGTACAAAAAGTGTAAAATAACAATATCAATAACTAAAATTATAAGATAAATGAGTTAGTGTCACCATAAATTACAACTCGGAGAAGACAACACAGCCATTTATTTCGCTAACAACATAGTAACTCAAAAGTTTCACGCTTTACATTATCTCTATCACAAAGACCGCGGACAAAACAAGGTATCGTTGAGTTTTTATAATCAGCTGTGCAAGCATGCAATCTTTTATGGTGACTTTCAGTCCTACCTCATGAAATGCAAGTGGAGGTTCGAAAATAAAATGGGTGTTGAGAGTCAGACAATATGTATATAAACCATTTCTTGCATGAGTTCAGGTGTCTATCTAACACAGTAGTAACGAGTTGACATGGTGCCACACCACTTTCCCTACTCACAATCTTGAATACCCTTCGCGTTATAAAAGAGCCGGTTTCGAGTAGGCCGGGAAGAATTAAGACAGGTGAAATAAAGAACAATAGGTGAGATATGAGAGTTAACAAACTGTACAAGTAGAGGTTCAGTGATACCTGATTGTCTTAACTTCTCAATGTAGAAGGTTAGATGGAACATTTTCTTAGAAATCAACAAGATATGGAACAACCAAGAAGTCTCAGAGGATAGAACTATTCCAATGTATTTAATTCTTGGCTTAATTTCTATTTCATTGGCCTCTATGCTACAAGAATCACGTGAAGGAACCAGTTCTTGTAGATGACGTCTATACTTGAAAGTGAAGCTAACTGTCAGACATTAGGAAGGATTTAACGTGAGACCTTTTAGCTTAAATCACTGGCTGATATCCTGCAAAAGGCTATTAAGTTTGAAACAATCAGATCGTTAAGTAACTGGAAGTCAGAACATTTGAGATAGACTGTTAAAAATAGGTTCGTGGAAATATGAAGTTTACTAACCACAGAAATGAAATGCAGAATCTATTACTCAAAATGGGCTCTAGATAAATAAATGTTGGCCATAGACCACCAATGATATTCTTAACTATGGTGGACTGGATTATGCGTCAGACA